GGATGATCGAACTGTCAGAACCGAAAGGCCAGGTGCGCGAGTGTATAGCATGAGGAGTTAAAAACGAGCGAATTCCGCTCCCCTTTCCCGACAGTCGAAGGCAAGTAAGCCAGGGACATTTCGTCGAATACCCGCGCTTTTGTGCCCAGAGGACAGCCGCGTACAGAACCTCCGAAATGGAGCTTAACTAGAGAAAAGCAGGGGCCCACTTTCTCGGCATCACGTTGCTACTGCTCCGACTGCGTCGCGTGCGAGCGATTCGCACTGGCACTCTTCTCTTATTCTTTATTCAGAAAACTCCTCATGTAGCGCCTGGAAGGCATCATTGCAGGAGGGCGAATAATAACGAAAAGAAAGTTTCAGCATTTGCAGCGCAAAGTATACAATCTTCCATATGGTATTCCAGTCTTTGACCGTCCTAACAAAATGAATTTTCGCAGAGCTCCGTCCTGGTACAGTATTCGCTTACCTTTTGTACATGATCATTTCGTTTGGAAAAATAATTTGATTTTAAGATGTATGCCGAGCTCTACACCCCTTTCGAAAGTGTGCCCTCTATTGGAAGCTGTACAATTCCTGCACAATGGCGCAACGTTGCAATGGCGGACACCAGTGCGAGCTTCTTGGGTTCGCCCTTGTTCAGCGGGAGCACAAGTCGAAGCTACACGCTCGCGCTACTGGCACGTCAGCGGTGTCGGATGCTTTACTATTGTGCAGTGGACCGGATTGTTTTTATAAATCGGCACATGACTTTCGAAATCGAGTAGCTTCATGGCAAATGTTGTATACAAATTTCAAACGTAAATGTTTTCGCCAAAGATCCAATGAGAACCATCCTAGTGGTTGTTTTATAGCTACACAAGAAAACAACAAAAAAAAGAACAAAAAAAAAAACGGTCGTACTGTTCCCGGACAAAGCGTGCAGCACGATTTATTTCTTTTTTCAAGTCATCAATGCGATTTTTTTAAGAGTCCCATCAGTGCATGCATAATCTAGAATTGGTCGCACACAAGCAAATATGCTCTTTTTTTTTTTTTTTTTTTTTTTTTTGCGTAGCGTTTTTATAGGTTTTGTTGAACAAAGCCAAGTGCGACACCCGCCCTTTTAATAACATCATCAATTTGCGAATCCAACGTGCAGTGGGATGACAAAATGATTCAGAGATACTTTATTTTATGCTCATTGGTTACTAGCTCAATATTGAAATAATACTTTGTACTGATATGAACACATTTCTTTACGTTAAGTTGCATCCCCCATTCACCGCACCAGTGTTCTACTCGATCTAGGTTAGCCTGCACTTGTCTGGAGCCCTCCTCGTTCTTTATACACGTGTACACAGTGCAGCCATCCTCAAATAATCTCAATTAGAAAGTTACTTTGACATAGATATCGTTGATAAATATGAAGAAGAGTAATGGCCCCAGAACCGACTCCTGTGGTACACCAGACGTAACTTCAACAAAATGGGACGCCTCGCCGTTCAAACATTGCTGACGTGAACTCAAGTGTGACTGAATAAATTTTTGTATTGTAAATTCCATTTTTAAACAATACAATTTGTGGAGTAAGAACGAGTGCGACATTGAGTCAAACGCTTTCCCATAATCAATAAATACACAATCAGTATGTTCACCTCTATCGACGGACATGACAAGATCACGATAAAGCTCGCCGGTTAGTGGCATGATACAAGAATAACCTCTCCTAAACCCGTGTTGAGAATCCATGAAACAATTATGGTAACTAAGATGCTGGATTACCTGGCTATACAAAATGTACTCAAGTATACTTTACAACAAATATAGGTTAGAGAAATCTGCCTGTAATTTGTAACACCCTTCTTTCCAATCGTTTGGCAATGAGTCATTACCAAACGATTGGAAATAAGGGACCCAAAAAGGATGTTACAAATTACAGGCCGATTTATCTAACCTCTATTTGTACACATGTATAGCCAGACGTCCTGATTTAGGCGCTACAAGTCCCGGTTTTCCCGCTGTGGTCCCGCTGTCCCGCCAGCGTGCTTGTGGGACGATGGTTTCTCTGGCTTTCGGCTCCCCCGAACCGCGAATGGATAAAAGACGCAGTCAATCGAAAGGATCACATTAGTGAAAACGTGCTTTCCCTGACCTTTGAGCAAGGTATGCTTGCAAGAGAAGATGATGATGTTGAAGGTTAATTTGCATGGACATATCTACAAAAGTAAATACATTAAAGGGATACTCCAACGAAGTTTGAAATATACCCGTCGTTTTCAGAAATGGGTTGAATATGTTCCACAATATCCGTAAATGTCAATCGCACCTTTGTATTTTGAGCCTGATGGCTGTATTTTTCGTTATAAAAGGCCCACTCTGGCCAGCGCTCGGAGAGCAGCCAGCACAGAGCACGTGACATCCGACGCAATCGTGACGCAGTTCGTCTCGGGGCGAGCAAAGCTGCGGCGAGGCTGACGTCGAGAAAATGACCTAGTCGTTCCAGCCACCGAAGCGGCTGCCTTTGTTCGAAGTTTACAGTGACGGGTTAATCTTCTATAATCTTGTAGATAGCACTTCTGCTACACACAAAAAGAGAGTCTCGGGGAGAGGGGAGTTCCGCTCTTCTCTCGTCGTGCCCCTCGCCCAGTCCCGCTTTGGGGTCCGAGGAATATGGCCATTTTTGTAATGACCCGTCAAGCACAGATGGAATGAAAATTTTAAGAAGGTATGGGGAAATGGCACCAGCACAGCGCTGCAGAGCCTTAGGCGAAATTTGATTAGGGCGGGGGGCACGACGAGTTTCGTCTAATTTGTTTAGGAGCTTTAGGACTCTTTCGACACCAACCTCAACTGGAGCCATTTCATCGGACTTGTATGCGAAAAAAAAAAACAAAAAACAAAAAAAAAAAAACGATTGAAAGTTTTAAAAAGTCAAACTTTTTTACGAGCGTCCTCCCGTAGTGTCAGACACCATCCCTGCGTTGACTAAATTGGGTCCCCTCGCAACAGGAACGCCGGAACCGGGGGAACAAGCCAGAGCCAGCCCCCCTTCCTCCTAGTATTCTTATGGGGGCGGGGGGGTTCAACTTAAACTATAAGAATGCTTGGAAGTCAGACGCCAGGCGCTCGTCAAACGACGTAGTAAAAGGGAAAAAGAAACCCGTGAGGATAGTAAACAAAACTCAGATTACAATGTCTGCGATTTTTTTTTTTTTTTTTACACAAATAAAAAAGACAAAATGCACACGTCCTTCTCGTCCAGCCTCCTCATTGAGCAGAGCGCCGAGGTAGGGAGGACGCTGCTGATGAGCGCGAAGAGCCACTTCTGAGTCACGCCGCCGCCGAAATGTGCGAGTTAAAAAGTTTAAACTCGACCTGGACGAAGTACATGGCCTGTTCGCTGCGCCCTTAGGCTACTTACCATTTCAAGGCATTCGGTGACGTCGGCGATAGAAAGCAGCAAAAGCACTGACGCTTCCCGCTACCGCGAGTGAAGCCACCGGACGGCCATCTTGCTCGCAGACGAATTGCGGTTCTGCTAGCGTTGTAGAGGCTAGCGGCAGCGTACTGAAGACGCATTTTCTACTCGTTCGTCGTCATTCGCCGAGGACATTTTCACGTCTTAGGAGTAAACGTTGAGACTTGCCGTTGAGAACACGTGGAAAATTTTAAACGCAGTGCCGCAGGAAAAAGGCAGAACTCGTGGAAAGCAAGTTTCGCCGGTCGCGCGGCATGATCAAAGCTTCCTTGGCACGCCGAAATGCTGCGTCTCTGTGCGTTCACACGCTTGGATACCGATCAAGAATCGGCGCCGCGGTAAAAAAAAGTTTTGAAAGTTCGTCGCGCGTAGATGTCTTAGCATCATATATCGGCCGCGGAGTTCTCGATCGTCTAGCTGTTCCAGCGATTTGTTATCAATAAAGGGGGGAAAACAATCTGTACGATTGCTCTTATGCACTATCAACCATGGCTATGTTCCTAATCTACTCTAATGGATCACATGGCAGCACAAATAGAGCAACGCTATGGAGCAAGGATGGTTTTCGAAGGCAAAAGTACAAGACGGCGAGATTGAAAATCTCTGAGGCATAACCCATATGGTCGTGTGCAATCGGTTGACCAATTACAATTAGGCGAGCTGCGCTCAAACTTGATGTCACGTGCGATTGTTGATAATGAGCCAGACCACTGATCAGTGATGAGGAGCTGTGTGCGCGGTATTCTGTAAACCGTCTAACGACTTAAAAAAAAAAAAGACGGACCTTCCCCCTCTCCCCTCGTCACTGGATCAAGCTCATTCTGGACTGCGAGAGCCGCAAGTTACAAATACAGTCGTCATAGTAAAGTACGCTGCTCCAGAGGAACATACGGCTCCACGCACATTGCACTCGCAAAACACGTCCACACGGCGTCGAATCTTGATCGGCATGCAAGCGTGCGAAGGCACAGAGACGCAGCACTTTTGCGTGCCAAGGAAGCTTTGATGACGCCGCGTGTCCGGCGACACTTGCTTTCGACGAGTTGCGCCTTTATCGTGCGGCACTGCACTTTCGTAAAAATTTCCACGTGTTCTCAACGACAAGTCTCAACGCTTACAGAGTCTTAAAAACCTTTTCGGTGAATGACGACGAATGAGTAGAAAACGTGTCACCACCACGCTGCCACTGGCCTCTGCAATGCTAGCAAGACCGCAATTTGTCTATGAGCAAGATGGCCGTTCGGTGGCTTCACTCGCACTGCAGCGACCAAGCGGGGAAGCGCGATCCAGCAATTGTCAGTGAGCAAAAGCACCGTTCTTTCTGGCAGAAAGAATGATAGCTTCGGCAAAATTGAAAACTTTCCAGCAGAATTGAAAACAAGAAGAAAAAGAAAGGCCGGTTTTGTTTAGCGGACGATGAAGACGTTCCAGATACAAGTCTAAAAAAAAAATCGTTTTATTTTGAGTGCAGTGTTCCGTTTTTTTTTGTGGCAAGTTTTGATACGTGCTAGTTCGTTTAAGAAATCATTTTCCAGACAGGTTTCAAGACTAAAATACCTTTATTTAGCTCATGCCCAATGAATTGACAGAACAACAAAATTTTATATATCACTCAATCTTGCAGATAATCAAGTGGCGACAACCTCAACTTGTTGGCTATGCTTTGCAATGTAGCCAGTAAAATTGAAATAGTGGTTCTTACAACGGTACTTAGTTCCCGAAATCGGCAAAGGTGCAGCCGTTACGAGTTGCATCGTTGAATAACTGTGCTAATGACTTGTACGAGCAAAACAGTCTGCACTTTCTTGACTTTGGCACTCTCTACAACTTCTATGAGCCAGTTTAAAATATACAGTTAAGAGAAATGTGCTGGAAGTTGTTTAGCATAGTGCAGCCTTCACCATTAGCATCACAATGAGATCGTTGTGAACCGCAGCGGTATTTCGAACCGACAGCGGTATTTCTAAGTTGTGAGCAGCAGCACTCGCAACCATCGCAACAAGTTACCATGCCCCGCTGATAATGAGGCTGGGCTTGTGTTGCACTGACCCTCGCAAGCCTGAAAACACCGGACATAATGGAAGATACAACTGGAGACTTGGAATTCATTCTCCTATTTAGCGTTTTAGTCCAACCATGCAAGCATAAACGTGTTCCACCATTTGAACAATGGTGAAAAGTCCCCGACCAGGTGCCAGCCTGGACATTGACCCGAGACCCGACACATGAATGCAGAGGACCAGTGGAAGAGAGAGGCTCTAATGCAACTTGGGGGGGGAGGGGGGGGGGGGCGACGACCCAGTAATGTCAGAAAGTGGGCAAGGCCATGATTGCAGATGCCACCGACCACAGAAGCAACTTCGAGTTGGTATTTCCCTAGCATGCTGTTTTGCCAAGACTCGGGAGAAGTTTCCGACGGCCATCCATTTCTCTCGATGAGCTCAATCATAACCAACTCCATTGTAATCTTTCTTACATTGAAAAAGAAAAAAAACGTCAAACTTATCGTACACTGGTGAGAGAGTCTATGTGATATCCCCGACCAGATAGCTCCGCCACCGTTTTTGTACAAATCAATGATATGCGATAGTATGTGTACAGATAATTGTGCCACTGCTCAACCTAATGGGTGCAGGCCTCATTGAAACCTAGAAAGACAAAACAGAATCTTGAAAAACACGCGTCCCACAGGCCTCTCGTCGTCTCAGTAGTTGTGCAGCAGGCTCAGCGCCTCGGCTGCCCTTGTACGCTGCTCGACAGTGTCCGCCTTCAGAAGCACAATCAATGCTGCACAGACCCGGTCGTAGGGAAGGGAGTCGTGCATTTCTGCAGGTGCGTTGCCGAGCAGGAAACCTTGGAACACGATGAGAAAAGAGGAACAAAGTTGTTTCCTTCAGCTGGTTCTCCGCAATATCTCGTTGCACTTGGAGCTAAGATGCTAAACGGCATTACGCATTTTAACTATAAAACGAGTTGTCCAATTTACGATAAGGAAAGAAGGACATTAAAGACAAACAGACAAGACAGGCTTTCGCTTTCAACAAAGCGAAAGCCTGTCTTGTCTGTTTGTCTTTAATGTCCTTCTTTCCTTATCGTAAATTAATAACCAACACGCTCAACCATCTACAGTTGTCCAAAATATCTAAAATTTTCGGCAAAGTATTCTAGGTAAACCAGCGATGGAACAGACATCCAAAGAAAGCACGAAGGTAGCAGAAGTTGGTACGAATAGTACTCGAAAAGGAATCTCCTGGAAAGCCTCAGCCTAGTGGTAAACTTTTTGCTACAACACTTAGTCCAGAAGAAGCAATGGAAATATTGGCTGTCATTTTCAGCTCCGCAAGGTTCCTTTTGAAGATGCAGTGGAAATAAAAATGCTGTATGCTTAACAATTTAATGGAATGGGTAGCCCATACAGCAGTTACCAGTGAGTTAGAGTATAGTAAGTAGCCTCGTATTACCTAGCGGAAGATTCAGGGCTAGACAGAGTCCTCCCTAGTTTGGCAGAACTAAATTCAAGCACAATGTTTTATTAATGATAGAATTAGCCAATGGCCTACTAGATACATAAAACTAAAAGACATACTAATATGGAAAATTTGTCACAAAACTGTATTTGCACGAATATACTAACGCGAGGACAAATTTCGATGCCCTCAAAAAGAAAAGAAAAAAAAAATTATTACTATTATAACGCGAACCGAGGCCGCGTCGATTTCTCGCATCGGGGGCATAGCAGATGTGAAAAGTCAATAGAAATAGAAGAAATATCAGTTTATGTTTTGACTGCACTCATCCTCACTGCTCAGGTCCTTCCGTTTACAATCCACTTGGCGACTACGCGGATAAGCAGCAGCACGGCACTTGCTTGTCTGGTAGTTCCTTTTTCTTTCGTGCGAGCACCTCGGCAGCCCACAATCCAAACAAGGCAGGAAGCAGAAGCACCAACACACAAACACCAGATCACTCTGGAGCAGAAACTAAAGAATGCGCAGGCAGAAAAAAGACTGCTGAATCCGATACACAATCACACTTCTTCTTCTGGTCCCTCTGCATAAACAAATCGACTTCTTCCAAAACCTACGCGCCCCATCGCGGCGAAATACCACGCAGTGCACTCTGGGAACTAGTTGGCCACTCAGTTTCGGTTTCGAGTGAGCAGCTTCATCTCATGCTATCACGCCACAACCGAACGCGCTGATTGCGTTTTCAATTACCGGACTTTTTACGAATGCAGAATACACTCCATTCTCGAGCGATACAGAACGAAGGCCGGGGCACTTTTTTTGGTTCATGAAACACAGGATATAGTGCATGCGTATGCAAACATAGTAAGACGTGGCTTAGTCACCCCACCCCACAAGTGCATCTTTGAGCTCAATGTCAGTAATCCCGTCTAGTACCAGTGAACTACAACTGAAATTTGGTCACCTTGAGCCTACACATATTTTGCTTGCCAAACGTCCGCTTCTTGTTACTTTATTGGGCGAAAAGCAAGCCGCATCTTCACAGGATTATCAAAGCTGAGCCCAGTGTTGGCGCATGAACTTTTAAGGAAACGCAATAAATTCGACCTCACTACTGCACAAAAGTTAGTATGATGTCTTCCTCGTGTCATCACATATCTCACACTCAAATTTTATGCTGATAGAAGAATAAGTTATCGCAAACACTGAGATCGGCTAGCTACGACGGGGGCCCTAACAAGCGTCCCCTACTCCTCTGTAAGCCTTTTTGCACAAGCTTTTCCTGATGCCCAAGATCTGTGCCTGAACGGTCTGTCTGAAATTATCTCGGCATACTCAGTCAGGAAGGAAGCAAACACATAACAAATATTATAGCCCTTAGCAACCGTCAAATGCGCTTTGAATAAATTCATTCGTTTGGCGCACCGCATAGGGGTTCATGCCCGTCCGGCGCACCTCCGGCGAACGGTGCGACATTCTTAAAACAAGTGCTCGACTTTTGCTTTCTTAAAACGGTTTGTATGTGCGAATGTGCCTATATGATTGTCAGGATAACTTTATGCACATACACAATGTTGAATATTAGTGGAATGCAAGGGGGTGGAAACTTCACTTCGTGCAGTGCTGTGGGGCAGTACAGGTAAGAGATGAGAAGTGTGTTTAAATGGAGCTTTTCAATGGTGCCTTAGAGTTTTACCTCGCGTACTCAGGCATATTAAGAAAAAAAAAAAAAAAAAACGCATCTCCACGTGGTGAATGATGTTGATTGGAGCGAAGCTCTGGTGGTGCTTGTCTGCGTAGTTGCTGAGCCGCAGCATGCCGAGCCTTTCGTTCGTCTTCATCCATCTCACGCTGAGGTCAAGTGCTCAAATGCGTATATAACCACATTTCCATACCACACATTCTTTTTCTGACATGGATGAAAACGAATGAAAGGCTCGGCATGCTGCGGCTCACCGTCTACACAGACAAGCACCACCAGAGCTTCGCCCCAATCAACATCATTCACCACGTGGAGATGCGGTTTTTTTTTTCCCTACACCAGCACATGAGCTCACGAGCAGGAGCACGTGCACCCGACGGCAAACGGACATACGGACATGGCTAGCCTCTAAGGAGCTTCGCCCCTAAAAAAAGTAATCCCAAAACGTTATATTTCGTCTATGGACGCAGGAAACAAACTTCCTGATCAACAATACTAATGTGAAGGCTCGAGCTCGATGTATGCATATATACTTATTGGTTGCTACAGCTTGCTGATTCGTACACAACCAAGATCCCTGAGCTTCGCAGCGTCCAAATTCCCAGCACTGGCTCGTACACATACCTCGAAACGCTAACAGAAGGGCTCAAGTACAAAAATACAGCAGGCATGCGTTAAGACAAGCTAAACGTCTCGGGCTTGTGCTAAAGCTTCGAGGTCTGGCCATTTAGGTTAGTTTAGAGACCACAAACAACGCTCTCGGGACCAGAAAGCATGAGATAACGGCCGTTAATAGTCCACGCTGTGTGTGTGACCTCTTGTCGACGTGTCAATCGAAACCGAAACCATGCCACTCTCCCCCCTGGCCAACTAGTTCCCAGAGTGCAAAGCGCGCCGTGTTGCATGCAGGGCTTTATGGAAGTAGTCTATTCCTCGTGTTGCACGATTGCGTAAACGCGTTTGGTGGTGTTAGCTGGGCTTGTGTTGACTTGGCCCGGCTTGGCTTGGCTCGAATTGGCCAACGAATTGGCCAACACAAAAGCGATAAAAATGCTTTTTTATGTTTTCTATTCGCCCCTTCACGTGGCCAAATAGCTAATCAATTCCCTTCCACACCCCCACTTCTTTTCCCACTAGATATTTTGCATTGAGCCGGAGGGATGGCTTTCTCCTCTGGCTTTCTCCAGACTCGCACGCCTCGTGGCTGAACTTATTCCGAATATAACGCGAGGTGCGTTTTGGAGCACGTAATTTCGAAAAAAAAAAAAAAAAAATCGGGTTATATTTGTGCAAATACGGCATCCACTGCAAATGTTGGAACACACTTCATTATTTTGTTTTTAACTATGGGCCTCCACCAAGACAGCTCTTCATTGCTACTGCCATGCCAATAAGGAAGTTAAGATTGTACTGACCCAAAAGTAATGCAGCATTGCACTGAATCACAGCTTGAGGGCTCTTGAGATGTCCCAAACACAGGGTCACAAAATTAGCCATGTGCTCCTCGAAGTCATTCACCTAGAAAGGCATGCAAAGAAAGTCAAAGTCTGTTCGTAAATAAGCACAATTGTGACACACTGTCTTGTGTGTAGGCTGACCCAAACAAAAAGTGAAATCCTAAGAAAGGAAAATTATGAAGAACTGTTCACTCACCACAACTTTTGAGAGGTCGTTAATGAACTCTGCATAATGTAGATAAGAATCGTTGGGCAGGTGTTTCTGAAACATGTTGTTAATCTCTTCAGACCCCAAAAGGGGTCCGAGTTTCTTCAAGGTTGTTTTGCAAGCCTGCAAAAATTTTAAGAAACCAAAACAAATATAGAAACCATGTGGTACAGCCCACCATCTTGCAATAATTGCACCTAGGGTTCTACGTTTCGATTTAAACCAAAAAGTAATAAAACCGCAGAAGTGGCCACTTTGTTCAAGCGCCCACTATTAATTTGTTCCAAACTTGGGAATTCTGCAAATTATATGTTAAGCGCCTGATTTGACTGGACAAGTGCCCATGTCTATAGTGGGTTACAAATTAAGAAGGCAGGAGAAGCTCCTCCCACAAGCGTGATGTGCCCGTTTCAAATCTCTCCGCAGTCGAAAGAAGAGTTCACTGGAAACGCTCCTTGTTCCACTTCAATGGATTCCAACTTGTCTCCGATCCCACTTTTTAAGAAAGCGACCTTTGTATTCATCGGAGGGGAAACCGGCCCCTGAAAGCAGCCTTTGTATCCATCGGAGGGGAACCTAATCTCCAAAAGTCGTATTCGTTTCCATCGGACGGGGAAAACTCTAATCTCCCTCTCGTGGCTTCCACAATGCTAAGTCAAAGTCGAAAGATAAAGCAAACATGTACAAAAAGGCAAGACCCTCCTCATGCGTTGGCCGCGACGTCAAGGAAACGATGGGATGCTATTGGATGCGGAAGTGGCGGAGGGATATAGGATTCCCTTTGAGGGGCATTTGCCGCTACCTTCTTGACCTGTAACTTACTATAGATTAATCCAGTTTTCAGTGAAAGTGGGTGCGTGCTCCCCCGGCATTTTATGGTGAAACAATAAAATTATGCCATACTCATTTTTAAGATTTAGGTTTTATCCAAAATAGGTCAGTATATCTTAAAGCAGTGTGGCACAGTTGACGGGCGTTTCTGCGGGAGTGGGGTGTTGTCATTCTGCGATTTTGTAAATCGTTAGCGTATCTTTGGCACTGCCCTTTATTATGCTGGGGGAGGGTCCAACAACAAACAGTGTTTTGGGACCAGTGGTTGCTATCCTTTGAAGATGGGGGTTTGGATTGTTTGAAATGTCCCACAATTTCTCAATGTACGAGGGCACCTTTAAAACATTCAGTCGAAGCCAATGACGAGAATGAAGCATTGCTACCAAAGTTTTATGGGGACATGAAGCGTGCAGTGCACTGAAATGTGGTACCACTTGTCTTTTGGCATTCACATTTGACTGATTGCCCAGCTTTAGCACTTCACATCAAAAGCTTGCTAGTTTTGAGTATAAATGCACAGTCACTCTTTAGAGAGCGGACGTTTAGTGGCTGCGGTAAAGTGTTTCGAGGGTAGTTTTGAAACTGAATGGGCATGCATCAATGAAAAAAACTTGGTAAGTTTACAACATGTCTTAATTACAATCATATATAGTAATTACAATCTAGATGACCAGTGAAATTTAAGGTTCCTTGTTATGCTAAGGCTGGGTACATAGCCTGTCAATATCTATGTCTTTTGTGCTTGTCCGTGCATGTTCTGCCATTCTTTAAATAGTCTATACATCACTTTGACAAATAAAGAAGCTTTTTTTAAATTTTATATTGCTACATCTGAAGCCCAATCTCTTCTAGACTGCCACTCCTTCACATGGCATCAGCAAACTCCCCATGAGAGCACTGCCCTGAATGCCACCATCTGCTCTTAGGCTACAACCTGTGGAGACCCTCTTCCCGTTCCCCGTGACCTTCCCGCTTTCTGCCGCCGTCCTATCCGGGCGTTCCCCCATTTTCCGTCACCTTCCCACTTCCCGCCGCCGTCCTGTCCGGGCTTTACCCCATTTCCCGTGACCTTCCCGCTTTCTGCCGCCGTCCTGTCCGGGCGTTCCCCCATTTCCCGTTACCTTCCCGCTTTCTGCCGCCGTCCTGTCCGGGCGTTCCCCCATTTCCCGTGACCTTCCCGCTTTCTGCCGTCGTCCTGTCCGGGCGTTACCCCATTTCCCGTCACCTTCCCACTTCCCGCCGCCGTCCTGTCCAGGCGTTCCCCCCATTTCCGATCCCCTTCCCGCTTTCTGCCTCCGTCCTGTCCGGGCGTTACCCCATTTCCCGTCACCTTCCCGCTTTCTGCCGCCGTCCTATCCGGGCGTTCCCCCATTTCCCGTCACCTTCCCGCTTTCTGCCGCCGTCCTGTCCGGGTGTTCCCCAATTTCCCGTCACCTTCCCGCTTTCTGCCGCCGTCCTGTCCAGGCATTACCCCATTTCCCGTGACCTTCCCGCTTCCCGCTGCCGTCCTGTCCGGGCGTTCCCCCATTTCCCGTCACCTTCCCGCTTTCTGCCGCCGTCCTGTCTGGGCGTTCCCCCATTTCCTGTCACCTTCCCGCTTTCTGCCGCCGTCCTGTCCGGGCGTTCCCCCATTTCCCGTCACCTTCCCGCTTCCCGCCGCCGTCCTGTCCGGGCGTTACCCCATTTCTTGTGACCTTCCCGCTTCCCTCTGCCGTCCTGTCGGGGAATGTTTACAGCCATCCGGGAGGGACGCGGCAAGCACCCCTTCAACGGTTGGAAGGACAAAGCTAGGAAAGCCTTAAAAGGGGAGGCCAGACAAAGGAAGGCTCTCTCTCGGACGGCGACTCTCTCTAACGGCGGACAGCAACGAGCGTGCAGCAGTGACAGGAGACGAGGACGCTGGCGCGGGATTCGGCGGGAGACGGACGCTGGAGCGGAGAAGTGCGGGCCGCGAAGTCGAGCGGCGGACTCGATGAACGGACCAGACAGCGACCCTGGACGACGACATCCCCATGACGCGGTGTGGACGACCACCGCTGGGACTTGGAGCAGCTGCAGTGGACTTCCCCCCGGCCTCGCTAATGACCGTTCCCCAATACCGAAGCCCCCCAGGCAATAAGTGAGTAAATAAACCCTTTTGCCGAGAGCGAAGTATTGTAGCGTCATATTCATCTGGGGACAGGGTCCGAGAGAATCGGAACTAGAAGCCCGCAAACTATAATGTAATTGCCCAGTGCTCAAAAATATAAGCAAAACAAAAACCACATATGGTCTTGGGTTAAATGGAAATATGCACATATAACAAGAAAACAGTAAATTTTTATATGTACCGTAGAATACTGCGCATCCGCCCATACCAGACTAAGTGCCCATGCCCAAATTTGTAAGATCTGAGAAAATATGCACAGTACATCGATATGTAAAACTGATGACCGGAAAAGCGCCCATCCCCCATTTTTTCACGATTATCTCTAAATCTTGGGTGAGCGCTTGCCTGGTATTTTACAACATACATATTCACAATCAAAAAAAAAAAATCCTTTCCAGATAATAAACACAAAAAGTAAGTCAAATCTGATGAGAATAAAAACAAAAAACAATTAAACTTTGTTTCTGAAAACTACAATACAACATTTGAAACCAAAACTAAGCAATTGTATTTCTTCGCACTATCGAAAAATAAACAGGCAGCACTGATCACCATCCTTACCTTTACAACCTGCCTGTCGTCCTCGTTCAAATGCACAAGCAACGTGATGAAATTGTTCATGGCCTGTTCAATAAATGCGTCTTTGCACTCTCCATGCCCAAACTTGGCTAGGTCACCAAACAACTTGAAGGCAGCTGCACGCACTTCGCCCTTGTCCTAATAAAACAAAAACAAAAATACTCGTCAGAAATTAAATCATCAAGGCTTAAAACTTTTGAGGGACGACAAGATGGATATACCACCGCCTTCACAGTCAACTGCACTAATAATATGCGCATGACATACTACATGTTTGTTATTGCTCGTTGTTCTAAAGAAACAAAAATAGTTTAAGAGACAAAATCTCAGTGCTGCTTTACAAAATAAACTACAATAAAGACAACACACTTGTAGTTATAACCACCGAGAAAAGGGAACAAATTAAGAGAAAGACAAAAGAAATCAACAAAATGACATCTCAAAACTTGAGATGTCGCTGCGTTGTCCCCGTTCTTGTTTCTCTTCATTTGTTCCCTTGTCTCGGGGTTTATAAGTATAGAAGTATGATAGTTCACCAGCTAGCCTGTGCCATTCCCCTTACTTCAATTAAAGACAAGCTGGGTAAAAACACATGTAGTGCAGATAGGTTTGCCGATAGGATAGCATAAAATATCGACTATGCACTATTATAATTAGGCCATATACTCTTCGGTGTTTATTCATGTCGAAAACTGGGAGATATTTTTCGGTGTTTAGTCATTTCCAAAATACGGGTGCATTCCGGCGAATTGTCTTGAGCAGATGCTAAAAACAGTTCTTATAGATGGAAAAAGTTGTGAATAGATACAGACAATCAAGACAAGAAACAGTTTAACTTTTATTTACATCTGATACACAATGTTCTTGACACTTCATTATTGTAATATATGCATGCAAGCATCTGTCATTCCCGTCCGCTCCTTCCTGTTGTTGAGGCGTAATTTCGATAATGCGCTCTCTACATTTGCGCTAGACATGGGAAGTCTCAAAATGTCCGAAAAGGCTTGGGAGAGTAGTACTGGCACCAGTTGAAAATTCCCATTAGATTCCAATTGGAATTTTTAATTGGTACCAGCTACGTTTTGGGACAACCAATTGGTCACTGCAATGTGAACCAATTGGAACCCATTAAGATTCCAACTGGAAATTTTTTTCCAATTGGTGAGACCCATTGGCCAGTGTGTTTCCAATTGGAACCCACTAAAACCAATTGGCTCCAATTAAAACCAGTTAGAATTCCAATTGGATCTAATGGGAATTTTCAGCTGGGGCCAGCCTAGTGAATGCAGCTTCCGGACATGCTTTGACCCAAACAGTAGGAAAGACACTTCAAATCACCCAACTAGGGTCCACAAAGGAGGGCTAGCTTCAATGGGGCAATCTACAAAAGGGCACAAGGCGGACAAACTTTTGGGGACATAAACTGAAGGTCAAGGTAACCAGTACCGACAGAAAAAACATCTCGATTCCTAAGACACCTTAAGAACCTAAAACAACCGTTAAAAAAAAAAAAGAGCCCGACAAATGTTTTGAAACTTTATTTTTTGTGAAAAACAACAAATAACTGTTGCTTGTATGAAAATATTCAAAAACAAATATTTTTCGGTTTCAGCAGATTTTTTATTTTTGACACCGGCGATGTTATTGGCCCTTTTCGGTTAAAACCAGAAAGTATACGGCATATTTATGATGTACAGTAATCCCTCGTTTTAACGAAATTGCTTTTTTCTAATTATTGCTTTTACTTAAGTTCAACATGGTCCCAACCGAAATGCACGCATTTGGAACTGGATTATTCTAAGTGTATCGGCGGCCAACAACGAAGGCCGAGGTGCCGAAAGCATGCAAGCCTACACGGAGGTGCACGGAGACCCTTACGTTCCGTGCCCCTTCTTCACCGAGGCAAACGGCAAACTGGAAAAACGGCAAACAAGAGAACTGAGCAAACCGGTGATGGAGGGCAGAGCGCGCAAAGTGACGCTTCCGATGCCAATGCGGCGACGGGGCCAGGGAGCAGTTTCCACATTCCGACGCTACTCATGACGCTTGCGGCCGACGCTGCCCAACTCCTGTCGGAATCGGGTCAAAGGAGCGATGGAGCTCGATATGCACGCCTGAGCGGGCGCGCTAGCAACGTACACGTGCATTGTATGGGAGAGTGGGAGTGTTCACCGAAAGTCGCTTAAAACTGCGAGGTTGAGATAAGAGCGTTGAGAGTCTCAAACCCCCAAAATTGAGATAAGAGAGTTGAGAGTCCCAAATCCCCCGAAAATTCTACCTTACGGCATCGGCTGTTCGACACTGTCCACCATTTTGCGGAACAAGCAAGGCATACTAGACGGGCTCGAGAAGTTTCTCATGCAAGAAAAAGTGTGCCTGCAACCGAAGATGAAAGATCGCCAAGTGCTTCGTGCACGTCGGATGGTCTCTTAGGAGCATGCTTGCCGAGCTGGCGCACAACTCCTGCCATGGATGCTGCGATGGTAGACCTTGCGTGCGGCCAGGGTCAACATGAAGCGACGTCGGAGAGCCGCCTCGGGAAACGCCGACGACCGCGGAGACGCGAAACACCCTACGGTTGTTTCAAAACAAAGTAGAGTGCAGCGGCGGTGATAGTGTTCTTGCGATGCCTGGAGCAGTTTCAGAACTGATGCCGAGATAAAATTATCGGCAAACTCCACTTATTTATTCTTTTACTCGGTAAAGCTGCCGCGAGTTGTTCATAGCCAAGGTTTGTTTGATTAAATATATGGTCAGAGTGCTCCGCAGTGTTCCCGTCCACCTTCAGGGCTGCTATAAGTTTTTTCGAATTACCGCTTATGTCGAATTTTTTTGCCGTCCCGTTGACCGTTATAAAGAGGGATTACTGTATACCGTTGTATGGAGGAGAAACCATGCAGAGAAAAAAGAGTGTAGGAAACTTACTTTCTCAAACATGTTGCGCAACCGAAGAGAGACAGTGACAATGAAACTGCTGACATCATGTTCATCTGCCTGAGCAAGAAGTGTTGTGAGGCCATTCACAGCCTCCAACATTATCTTCTGTTCGGAATCATCTTTGTCGTCCATTCCGCTTATCATAGCAGACAGGACAGTGCCAGAGTAGCGGTGAACCTGCAACAGCGCAAAGTGTGGCATCTAGACTGAGCGACATTTAAACAATAAACAGCAAATTACCAACAGCCACAACAAACAACGACAATCACAACAACCACAACAACAATGTGCCATTCACCATGCTTCTAGTATTTGAGTGGATTATTGCTTATAAAAATAAAAGGTAAAACTGAATGCAGTGTGCCCCCAGTTCTTTTACAATTTACACTTTTTTTTCGCATCTTATGAGACAGATACGAAGGCTTTTATAACATATAGATGACAACTTCAGTTGACTTTGCTTCAGTATAACTGGACTAACTTAAACTTTAGGAAGCATAACTATACACCTAGAGGGTGTCGTTCAACACAACTAAAATACCAGTAGCCACTGGCTTCTTAGCACTAGAAATTACTATGTACTAGAACAAACTTCAGCTTGGCAAGAATCCCTAAGCAATGTATAGCTACAGATAAGTAAAATAAAGGGAAATGGAGAATGCAGTCACAAGCCACACTTATTGATGGTAAGAGAGATTACATTCAGTGTTGGTCACCTGCAACAGTAACATCTTTAGATTTGGATTTTCTGTCTTTGATAGGTAGTAGTGATACTGGTAATTTATTCCCCTTAACGCAATCCAACTCCTGACACCAGATGTGAGAAGAGCATTCTCCTGTGATTGATACATGATACACACATGACCTAAACTGATACTCGCCCCGCCCTATTTATTTACTGCACATTGTATAAAATATGTGAAAAACTAAAGAGTGTCTGCATTCTGCAAATATGAAAGTGAGACTAGAATTAATGGTGCCTCAAGCTAAAAAAAGTTATCTTAAAAAAAAAAAAAAAAAAAAAAGCAGAGTGAGTGCTTGTGCTGTTCAGCAGCGGCCTATTTGGTGACCGCAATAATGAATGTGAAATGTTAAGCAAGCTTCCATATATGTGTGTTTGTGTGCAATGAGAGCAACGAACAAGCTGCTTGAACAATGAAGGCAGAAGTGTAAAACTAGGTTGGAAGTAGTTTTATAAACATCTGCTGAGGCAAACATGTAACAATTTCCGTTTTTCTGGCCAACCAACCAGCTGCTTGTTAGCGAGAATGCTCTTGTGACCAGCCACACAGCCCAAGCGTGGAAGGAAGCAGCAACACACGGGACTGGCTGCATAAAGGGTGGGAGTACGGGACAGCTAGCCAACGACAGCCGTCAACGATGAAGATGAGAACTTACCCCCATCCACAGTTCCCCTATTCCATACTTCCGGTTTACGGGGAAAGCAAAGGGTGAACAGACACGGGGAGAAAAGTCAGAGGGAACCTGGCAAGGACTACTGCAATTCTTTCATCAAGCAGCCTCCAGCAATGAGTTCAACAAGCTTCCCATCTGGACATTGAAACTGACACTACCTCCAGATGACATCCTTCACACCACCCACTCTTTTTGAACACTCAAAATCTTTATGTTAGCTTCGTCCTACAAGCCTTTGCAATAGAGAGAGCTATTCATGCATTGCAGAGTAAGGTATTGTAAAATTCCACATTTTTGCGTGCCCCTGCTCTTTGTAAATTTTGAGCAACTCAAAATTTGCAAAATACTATACAACTGAACAAAAATTCTTATTGCTTTTGGAAAGCTGAAATGTTTGCTGAAACTCACAAACTTAAGGCGTTAATAATAGTATGTCTACTATGTCCAATATGAGAGAAATTGGGGTGGCAAAAATTAGGTACTTTGCAATACTAATTTCAAGAGTTATAAAAAATAACTTTGAGAGGCAGTGCATTGAGGATTGCGTGACGTTTACCAGAAATGCAATAATCCTTTCCAAGATATAGTACCAAAATGCCTCTGAAAGGGTGAACTATAAATGAGTGTGTGAGTACCAGCTATTTCATATAAGCCAGAAACATGATATAACAATTCGCAACGCTCGTTTCTTGTGCATGTGAACACATAGAACAAGAACCAAGCTCACTGCTTCTTCTCATATGAAGCATATATCGATATGCATATGAGGAGAAATCTCACTGATGCAATTGCCACAGCTTGACATAAAAGTGGCTGATGGCTCTATAGTGTACACATAAAATTTGTGCAAAATGAGCATATGAAAGCTACCTCAAATCGTCCCAGATGTGGGTGGCACTAAAAAACAAAAACAAAAAAAATACAACAAGAATATGAACAACATCCACAATTGCTGGAAGGGCAGAAACCGAGATGCATTACATCTGGATGTCTTTACATCAAATACGAGCTCGCAGTTTTTGACGTCACTAAGGCCACGCATCCGAGACCACATTTTGCGCGGTGCGGAATCGCTGACAAAGACTGTAAGAGTGCCAGCAGCAGGACTAAAGAGCAGCATTAATTCTTCCAGTGCCGTGGACGATCCAACCTACCTATTTACCTCGACCGGTTCAATGCTGCGAACCGCACACTTTGCATAAACGTTCAGCACATTTTGTGCATATTTGATGCTCTTCTACACTCCTCTTCTAGATTTTTTGGCATCAGTCACAACAACCAATCTGTTCTTCGATCCTGGTGGCACTCCTTTACTTTTTTTTTTTTTTGTGTCCGACGTGCCACATAATTCAGATTTATTCGCTCGAGCTGCCTGGGCCACTTGGCCAGTAGAGAATGCAGACAAACGCCTACACTGGTTAGCCCTGGGCCGTTCCAGGCCGGTACCCTCCCGTTTCTGGGACGCAGCCCGCACTTACGAGGTCTCCCTCGGCGCGCCCAACCCAGGCGAGACCCCGGATGCAGAGGCGTCGCACTGCCAGGCACGGGTCGACCAGGCGTCCCAGCACGTCGCCCATCAGGGGCTCCACCAGGGGCTGGCTCCCCGGGAAGCTCTGGGCCAGGAACTCCGTGAACAGCGCCACCACCGCCACTCGCTGGGAGTCCTTCTGCGTCGCCAGCGAGCTGTGCAGGCTTGTGATGATTGCCGGCACGTGGCGCGGGCAGTGCTGACAGATGAGCCTGGTAGGACAGGAAGGCAACGGGGATCGGTCCCTCAGCTCGTGCAGGAAAGAGCTTCCGGTAAGCCGATCATACTCAAAATGACTGCAGTGGTTTGCAAACTGGAGGGTTTTAACTCCAATACATGTGGCTGTATCAGAAGGACTATGCAAACTGCAGGGAAGAGGGGGGATGGAAAGGGAAAATTTTTATGATATAACTTTTAATGCATTTTTAGATCGAGTTAAACTGGTGTCTTCAAAGGCTGTTCGTAATATCAGCACGGCACTCAACTGCAACTCTTAGAGGGATTTCACACAAGCTACATTCTGCATGCGCTAAAATTTGTCCCCTAATTGTCCTTCTTGGTTGGGAGGAGAGACACACTGCCACATGAAATGTAACCAGAGGACCTGTTCAGCTACTGACAATTTCAATAGAGTCAAGAGTTGGGTCAGTTGGTATATGTTGAACATAATGGAAATTAAATGGTGCTTAAGAACAGCGACAAAAAGAAGAAAGACACTAGACAATGGGTGCTGTCCTGCGTTGTGTTTCTTCTCTTGGTCCCCGTCCTTAAGTGCCTTTTAATATTCATCGTGTTCCACTAACAACTTCCAGATATTCAAAATCTGGGTCGCATCTCGCATTCTCTGTTTGACTCGGCTCCAAAAGAGTGCCACGTCAGTGAGAACAGCCATTCAAGTCGGAGCATTGTGTGTACCCTCTGCTCAGTGAACTGCAGAGACCATATGGAAGAAGCATCAGCATTCCAGTTCAGCCCTCCATTTCCAAGTGACTTGCTTTTGTTGAATTAGTCACTACAGCGAAGCAACGAGTCGAAGCAAGACAAAAACACCAAATTTCAATGCAAGACTAAACTCGTTAGGACTGTATGCAAATGCACCAGGAACTTTTTTGTCGATGGGAGGAGGTGCTCAAAAAGAAACTGCAAAACACGCACACCCAAAGTCACGTATGCATATGTGGTGTGACTGCAGCAGTGTTGAAACTGAGCAGAGAAGCATAAAGCAGTAACCTCACCGCCCCAGCACAGCAACGGAATCCGGAAAGAGCTCCTCTTCCTCCATGCTCAGCCAGTGGCCTTCCTTGGACATGACGCTGACGACGTCATCTTGTCTGGCACAAGACAGAAAGGCTTCGAAAGCGTGTAGCGTACACCTAAAAAAGTATGTGATGAAACAATTACTTATTTTCTTCCTGCACTGAAATATCTAGTCGCAACTGATAGCATCTGGTTCAAAGAGCTACTAGCTATTTACCCGAGCAATAGTGACGCAAGTGTAAAAGTTAAACTTTCACTGTTGAAACCTAGAAATGCCACACACGTCCAGCTCTTTTACACGGAAAATACTGTCAACGGAAAAACAGGATGTGTATGCACATCCTGTTTTTCTACACTCCAAGACTTTTCTGGAGGTACTGAAATTAATTGACGGAAAAAAGTAGGCCTGAACACGTTCTTCATTGAAACAAAACGAGCCGTCGGGTGTTCTCACCGCAATGGAACCAGCTTGGAGTGATCTCCAGTCGCTCCCTTGGGATCACCAGAAGGCTGAGCAGGAAGCGGTGGAATGCCAACATAACTGGCTGCCACAAGCAGGAGTGCAGAGAAGACGTGGCCAAACACTTCCCGGGTGCAACCTTCCATCTCAGCCACTCGGAAGATCTCTTGCACAGCACAGACACCCTGAGAAGGTGGACAGCACAAACATCTCACAACAGCACGGTGCAGCAGCCTCCACAAACGGCCCGAAATCGGCCCAAAATAAGCACTAGCTGTTTAACCCCTCGGTTCGGTACATAACTTAGACCCTAAATAAGCATGCAAGAATTAAACTTAGAAATATCAGAAACTAAAATAAATAGAAGTGTTTCGAGTCCGCCAATTCTGGTTGTGAAAGAGCTCACCCCTGGCATAGCCACGCTTTATGCCTCTAGGGTAATCCAAAAGGCTTGACACAAGGTCCGCTTACCGCCAGAACTTCCGGAGAGGCCACCTTAATGGTAGCTTTCTGGTTCCTCGGGTCGGGATGTTCTTGAACAGCCTCCCGGCTATCAAACATTTCCAGGAGGTGGCTCACAATGTTGGACCCAGTCTCAGGATCCTTGGCCAGGGCCTTCCAGCAGTCACACACTTGCCTTGAAAACCAGATTGCCCACTGTCACAAACAATCTCTAGTGCTTATTTATTTGCAATTATTAATTTAGTCTCTGGTGTATATAAGTGAAGGTGTTCTCTTGGGTTATGGCTTCGTACTAGGCAAACAAATTTTATGTCGGAGACCAAATTTAGAGAAGCATCTCTATGTCCAAAAAAAGTTTGCTTGCCGGAGTAAGGCTGCGTGCTATGCTACATCACTTTTTTTTGGCAAATCTTGGTTGACTCTATATTCAGTGTTTATTTTTATTAACAGGATGATATGATAAGTTAGGAAGAGAGTATAATAAACCAGGCTATTTCTTTTTCAGCTTTCCAATAGAACAATTTTGCTTTAAAGATAAAAAAACCCAACCAATGTTCATTATTAAAAAAGTAATGAATTCTCCAAAACACGTTGGAGTTTGTCAAGAGGTAAGTTTTCAAAACATGCAACTCCCTCTGAGCAAGATAGATGCAACACCGTTCCACGATAGCAAGCACTGAGAACAGCCCAGTTCAGGCAGCCTGAACGGAAGATGCATTGCCTCGAAAGGCACGGTTTGTACTGCCACATACTCATCAAAGGGTAATGGTGAGGACAGCAGAGCATTCACGACGAGGCTGAGGTGGTGCTTTGCTAGGGTCCTGACAATCTGAAGGCTTCCAGTCCTTGTTTTCGGACAGTGGATGTGCCAGAGCTGTTTGCGAAGATCTTCCACGATGTGCCCAACCTGCAAATATTCCGACATAAAAATACAATGTGGGGAAACAGAGCCCTTTACATACCCTCCATGTTTAGAATACCGTATTTACTTGCACAATGAACGCACTCGCGTAATGAACGCACCCCCCAAGTCGGCTCTCAAAATTTCAACTTTTTTTTTCACTCGCGTAATAAACGCACCTTCAACTCGGACGTCAAAATTTTGACCCCCTCCCCCCACGCGCGCGAAATGAACGCAGTTTTTTTATCCTGGTGCAGCGAGGTCGCGAATGCATGAGCAGCGTGGGTGAACAAAACGCCTTGCAAAAGGCGTTAAAAAAATTCGCAAAGATTCAACGGAAGCAAAAAGAAAACATGGGGAGGAGATTTTTTTTTTTTTTTTTTTTTTGCACAGCGCAGTTTGGACTTTGGGTTCGCGCGCCGCCGCGCGCAAGTAGTTAAGAAGCGGAGAAGCGCTCTAAGCGAACGAAACAGCTTGCGAAAGGCGGCAAAAATATAAAAAAATACAGAACCAAGAAAAAACAAAAACAAAAAAAAAAAGAACTTTTTTTTTTTTTTTTTTTTTTTCACAGCGCATTTTGGTTACGGGGTGTCGCGCGCCGCGCGCAAGGAGGTAAGAAAGAGGATCGGAGAAGCCCTCTAAGCAAACGAAACAGCTTGCGAAAGGCGGCAAAAAGGAAAAAAAAAAAAGACCCACGGAACTGAGAAAAAAAAAACAAAAAAATAGGAGCTTTTTTTTTTTCTTCTTTTTTTGCACAGCGCAGTTTGGTTACGGGGGTCGTGCGTCGCGCGCGCCGCGCGCAAGGAGAAAAGAAAGATAAGCGGAGAGCCCTCGCCTAAGCAAACAATACAGCTTGCGAAAGGCGGCAAAAAAAACCAAAAAACCAAGAAACTAAAACAAAAAAAAAGCTTTTTTTTTTTGCACTGCTTAGTTAGGTTATGGGGTCGGGCGCCGCGCGCAAAGAGAAAAGAAGTTACTTCGATTTTTCAGGATAAAAGGTCCGTCATTATGCGAGTAAATACGGTCGCAAAAATTTCACTTCGCGTAATGAACGCCCCCCCCCCCCCCCCAACTTTCACAACTTTGCATCGATTTTTCGGAAAAAAGTGCGTTCACTCTGCGAGTAAATACGGTATATACACTAGGTATGCTATCTAACCACCATTCAACTGCTATTTTAAGTTGCTCTTTTTAAGAGATAGCTTAATGGGTGACACTTTGCAGGGATTTCAGTGTCGGCGTTTGTAGTTGTCTGTCCTCGCAGCAGAGATTGAAAAACCCTCGTTCTGTTCCCTCAAGGATCAAAAGAAAGAGGTCAGTGTTCCCATTGGCCGCGCCGCGTGAAGAGAGAAGGGAGGAGAGCCCCGATGACCTGCCAATAACGGCGCGACGAGCAAGCATCAGCGGAGCGTCTTCCCCTGTCATCTGCTAACGATAACTTCAAAACGCATTTTCAAACATTACTCGCATTATATAAAATCCCACTGGCAGCATCCAGCTGCTACGCATAATGTTGGAGGGTTCTAAAAACACAAAAAACGTAAATCCACAATCAATTTCACTATAACATCTCTACTTCTCAAACCCAACTCGAAATGTAAAATATGTTCTGCCGACACTCGTCGCCTTGCACACGCCTTCCCCGCAGAGCCTTACCTCGTTTATCTGCATGCATCCCCATCTCCGCTCATTGCTGAACGTCAACATTACACCCTCCCTTCCCCCCCCAACGACACCAGAAAAACCTGCGCCTTTGCTTGTGTTGTTACTGCCGCAGACTCTTCCTAAGGGTGCCGCCGTGCCAAGGCAGTACTTTGTCCCAGGAGCGAGCGTGAAGGGAACGGCTGGCTTTCCTGGCTCACGATCGGTATCGCGCCCACACTGACCACCGACAAGGAGCCGCTTGTGCTGCGTGTACACAGCGACGTGGGGATCTCGAGGAGCGTGAACATGGTACAGTTATCGCTTTTACTTCTTTACTATGAAAAAGGCACCCTTTTTTTTTTATCATAGCCCCTCGCAACAAATGAAAGAGCTCAAACATCTCATTATTTCTATATAATACTCTAATAATAATAATAATTACTATTATTATAAATCACCTATACATAAAAATGCCAACCTCTAGAAATCTGTAGCATCAGCGACATGCAGGATTAACCTCACGGTGCCATACTAGCTTATTTATGACTCAACTATTTTTGACTAAACCTAAATTATACTACATTCACCGCTATCTTTGGGGGTCGAGGAAGCTACATGTTCTTGGACCAGTCGACCGTCGGTCATGCACCAAATGATCACACTCTCTGTGGACAGTTGCACACAAAGTAACAATGAAAGACATGTCCTCGATTAATTGGGCGAGCTTCCACTGCCCTGTCAGCTTAGCAGTACTGCTAAGCTGACAGGGCGTGTAGATGCGCTATCGCAGAAAATATGAGCATGAACAGCCCACCGTGCTTCTTCGGCATGCCTTCCAGTTTTTCGCATTTCGGACTAGAGCTGTAACGTGAAATCGACACTCAAGACCGTAAATGCTTTGACAAATCAAGAGATAATGAAGCTTCCAGGGACTGCAGGTGTAGCGAAAGGTCAAACCAAGCATTACAGGTTATACAGTGGAATCTCATTAAATCCAACTCAAGGGGGACCAAAAATGTGTTTGAATAATGCCGAGTGCAAATTATAGGTAGTCTTTTTAATGATGGGACTTGTACGGGACCTGCATGTAAGGTTGAATTATCTGCGAGTTTGAAATAAGAGAGTTTGTATTGTCGAGATTCCACTGTACTGTCTGCCCGAATTTTCCATCATGCAGTGCTTCACAAAATTTGGAATGAGACCTCCTGACCTGGTTGATCTCCATCAATAGGCAGACATGACTCTACTACAAAAGATGTTTGAGAAGATAGCTTCTACCATTCTTCTTCTTCGTTTAGAGATCCTTACAGTCAACCTCCATCATATACCTCATGGCATCGCGACCACAACCTAAGAATAGATTCTTTATTAGCAAGATCGAACCAATAAATTAAAAATTGCTCCACTCTCTCACGCACTTAAAGATTGTAATTCCTTCCCTGAAACAACTGCACTTGAAACTAACCACGATAAATTCAGTTTTTTTTTCTAAGGCACACCTTAACATATGTTTGTGACTAATCAAAATATTTAATTGGTTACATTTACTGTTTATTTATTGTTTACTTGTGTTCTTATGTATTATGCAAAATGTGTATTTCGTTAATAATTATCCAAACTGTTATTCGGCAACTCTCATTGTAAAACACTTCATTTGAAGTGCCTCTGAGGAACAATAAACCAAACTGAACTAAACCTGAAGAGACTCACCTCGGCGCGCAGTTCCCCTCCTCTCAGCTTTATAACCCCGGTGAGGACGACGCTTGCCCCTGCTGAACTCTGTGAGATCGGGTCCGTCAGCCCCAGCATCAAGCTAGTCGTCAGCGAAAGGAGCTGGATGGACTGTACCTTCTGGGCAATAATCTGCAATGCACATAGCACAGTATAACCTCATTACAGCAGATCTGATTACAACAGACATTCGGTTATAAGTAGAGCCGGTATTTCCGGGACAAAATTAGTGCTGAAATCGGGACAAAATAGGGACAGAAAATGGCAAAACATTGGGACGCTTTCCAGGACAATGTACGCCTCTGTATGTGCAGTGTTTATTAGCGTTGAAATGATTCTTCTTTTTTTATTATAACACATTCTATACTCTCGTGCCTTGAAGGAAGTGGTCAGGAACATCTCAAGTGTTTGTTTGCTTAGGCTGTGCCTTGTCTTTGTTAACAAATTCTTAGTCGGAGAATGATCACTCCACTTCCACGGAGACAAGCGGCAAAAACCTGAGGGCTCGTTTGGCATCCAAGTCATAAACGCAATTTGGGGTTTTTAGTGAACGCACAGTCAAACCCGTCTATAATGAGCAGTAGGAAACGCTACGAACAGTTCGATATAGAAAAAACCATTTACAATGAACTTCGCTCGTTGGAAGGAGAGAGCTTCTCTTTCGCTCTCATCTCTTCGCTTACACCTTCTTACAAAATGCTGGAAAGTTGGTTTTTTTTGAAGGAGTGCAGAGTTTCTTCTTTTAGCTTATCTCCCCTTCTGAATCACTTCTCTTCGTAAGCAACCGCTTTGGGATGAAGTTTTTTTTTTTTTTTTTCTGTGCGTGCATGCAGTGTTTTTTTTTTAGCTTTCTCTCCTTCTGAATCGCTTCTCTTTGTCAATTTTGTTCGTGGCAGGAGCTTTTGCGATTTTCTTTCTTTCATAGATTTTTTTTTTGGGGGGAAGGGACAGGCTAGAAGACGATTTTTTGCACATTTTTGGAAGCCTTGCCGGGGGGTGGGGGGGGAGCGTTTGATATAGCCAATATGTTGTTCTTCATAAAAAAGTACTTTTTACATGCATTTTTATTTAAATTTTCTGCGAGTTCGATATCGACAATAATTCGCTGTACGTGGGTTCGTTCTAAATGGGTTTCACTGTACCCACTCTATGTCAGGGTTTTTCTCATGCGACTTACGAAGTTTGTCTTTTGCACAGCTGCCCAACAACAACGTGCCAACAAGAGAGGCCGTGGAAACGGCAACACATGGCCGGAATCCATCACAGATCAATTGGAGCGCACGTGGCTCTTTCTGGTGCAGATGCTGAGTTAAGGCGACTCGTTGGCAGCAACCATTAGAAGCATGTGCGGCACCATCAATCGGTGGCATAGTATATCCAGCGCTTTAGAAGGAGGGAAGGCAGCCGGCTCATATGCGGTTTGAACGCTGTTGGAGCCGTTGGCGAAAGAAGGCCACGCTGGCTCCTTGCCGATACAAAAATATTATCAATGGGTGAAAGGCACATTGTATACAGGCACTTCAGTTAAGTAACTGGACACTTAATGGAAAATCGGGACAACATTGAATCTTTCAGGACATTCAACGTAAAATCAGGGCAATTTAGGAGAACAGAGTTGATGAAAACCGACTGGGAATTGCTTGATAGATGTATATTGGTCACTGTTATTGGGACGCTTTTCAAAATCGGGACATGTCCCGGAAATCCCAGCTCTAGTTGTAACATACCGATTTGTGAAGTTTGGTTGGTCTTCCTATCTATGCCATTGAGCCAACTTCACTTATTACAAATTTTGTTATAACATACGTTCGGATATAATGGACTATATTAGGAAGTATGTAAGTAGTCCACCATTTCATTATAGTGGACTCTTCCACAGCAGTAATTATTTTGGACATTACGCAGCATTGGTTCGGTAGTGGTGGAAACAATTTTGCCAACTGCCGTCATTGCGCTTGGTGCCTCATAAGCCTTTCAAAGCATGCAGTGATGACAATCATCAGTACAGCTCAACAAATTATAACTACCCTCTTTTAAAGTTCAAAACTTTTAATAAACCAGTTCTTTCCTAATGATCCATTCTCATTATTAGTTTAATTCATACTGCTGGTCCTTGTTCAGAACTGTTGCAGGAATGGTATATAAATGACACAGCAGAAACAAATCCATGGTTAAATTTCGTCAGTGTCACTGGTTAGAACAGACTCCAGTCATAACCCACGTCAAAGTCTGTAGTAAGAGTATCTGCATTCTGCCTACTCCTTTTACAACAGACCAAAATCTTCATCACTATCAAGGTTCGTTGTAATGAGTTTATACAGTACTACATTTAGGCTCCTAATGATACTGGGCAAAGGTATTTTATAGTACCGCAATATTCTGACAAATCTAAGCACAAGGTAGTCCCGGTTCCATGGCCACAATACAAATGAGATGAGGAACCAACAATGTACCAAACATTGATTTTAATATTAAACTATATGTCACATCATTTGAGGAGGGCCAAGCATTACACAGTTATATTGCAATAGCAAAAAGTACAGCCTATATTTGAAGGGCCAACTTTGGACGAGTTGGTGGAAGCTGACCTTGTGGCGAGCATTTATTGCCTAATTATAGAATTCTGGCCGATTTTCTAGCGAGACTGAACTCACCTTAGCCAACCCCTGAGTTACAGAGTAGAGAGAATCAGGGTCCGGTCTCTGAATGATTGGCTGGAGCTCTTCGACCAGGTGAATGTCTGAGTCGTCCTTGGAAGACAGACCTAGCGGTTGAAAAGAGGGAGCAATGGAACATTATGTACAGGGACAGCCCAGGAGGAATGCAAAAACCACCGCCAGATCTGGTCACAAAGAGCACGCTCGGAAGCAGACTTACTCTGGCTCTTGTTGTTGATTTCCAAGGAGAACTGAACACACTTGAGCGCCGTGTTGCGTATAGAAAGGCTCGGGTCGGTGCAGCGAGGAACAAGCAGTCCCAGGACAAAGCCGAAGCAGCTGAAGATCTGGAACACCTGGAAGCCAGGCCCAGGGCGCACAGAGTGAGCCCCGCCATCTGGCAAAACAGGTCCCGAGACAGAGCCCAGGTGCCGTCCCAGAAAGACTTACCCCAGTTTCAATGTGGTCGCAGTAGAACGACATGAGCTTCCAGATTGAATTGAGACATCTCTCCCTCTCAAACTCCTGTTTTGATGTGAGCCAAGGGATCAGCACCTACGGTCATTTCAAAGGTGCCAAATTTAACATTCCGTCAGAATCCAAGTTAGAAGCTTTGTTCCCATTTCCCTAATACTACAGCTTCCAAATGACGACCCCCCCCCCCCCCCCCCCGCCCCCCTCAAATTTCGTTTTGTCCGATGAAGAACAAGGGAAGGCCAGATATTATTAAGAAAGCATGTAGATCATTAAATTATTTTTGCAGCAAATAAGTATTTTGTGGTTACAAAACAAAAATCTAAATTTAAAAAAAGTTATTCAAGAAAAAAAAAAGGATTATCACAGAAAAGTGATAAAAATGTTTTCAAAGAAAATGAGATTTACTGCAGGAGATTAAAAAACAAAAACTGTTCTTCTCAAGAGAAATGGGATTACTGCCTTCGCCTCCTGATAAACAAAAAACTAAAACAAGTCGGTCGACGAGTTAAAGTTACGAAATTTCACAATTTTCTGTTGAGAATGCATTAGGTACAGTGTTACTGTGTAGCTGATATACCTTCTTAAAGGGAAGCTGAAGCAGTTTTCAAATTCTAAAAAGCTGTTAGAGTTTAGATGTAGGCACCTAAAAAAAAAAGAATGTATTTTTTTTAATTTTAAATAGGAACGACGTAATTGCAAATTAATATTTCGCCACAGTTCCACCCCCTGCTGCCTGCCAAGCACCGGAGGAGAGAGGAAGAAGAAACCCTAGCGAAGGTGACGTCCCTGGAGGTGTCAGGTGACCCCTGCTCACCTTCGAGCTGGCTCAGCAATACTATGGAGCCTGCAACGCGTCTCCGACTGGTGTGTTTACCGCGTCCAAGGAAGTGATCCCTCAATTTCCTTCCGCCTGGTGACATCACAGATGTGTCATACTGTCGCCGGTCGCGATCCTGGCGCTGTCCCAACAGCTGTGGTGGATGTGGCAGACGCTTGTTCTGCTGCAGGTCGCTCTCCAGTGTGGCAGTCCACGAACGCTTCAGCAGCCAGGAGGTGGGACAGCGACACTCCCATTTCCTCGTGCTTTTTTCCAGAATTTCCAAGGCCAACCGTTAGGATGGCGAAATCGGACAGCCCGCACTCGGGCATTTGCGAGGTCATTTGTTGCTTTTTGGGGATGATGCATGGGCGGACGCTAAACACACCAGTCGGAAACGCGCACCGTAGTGATACCGACAAACACGTCCCATTGCCTTTGACAGGTAGAAGGCAGCAGAGAGGCTTGCTGCATTGCCTGCGAGGATCGCTGCCAGTTTTTCCATACCTAAGCAGTTTATGCTAAATCTGGTTCAATTTCAGTACAATACACAGGAAAAAAAATAACTATAAAAGGCCATTCCTTAGTTTTTCTCTTAGTGCTTCAACTTCCCTTTAAGAGAAAAAAAATACAAAACAAAATTGAAGCTTAGATCATGGAATGTCAGCACTCCTATTCCCATCAGAAAAATTCTTCCAGATGAAACTGGCTTTGTCCCGGTGCATGCATAAATGTTCAGGTGCCCATTTGACAAAACAAAGCACCAACCTTGATCATGAGCTGGAAGTTATCTGGGGACCTGTCTTTGAACAACAACTGTGCCAGGAACTGGTCCAGAGCACTGAGACTAAGAATAACTAGCTCGGGGTAGTCCTTCAGCTCGTCGCCATTGATTGCCTCGTCATACAACAAGCTGGGGTTCTTCGATGGCAGCGAGTATACGCGCGAGACAGCGGTTTCGACCAGCACGACTCTTTCGCTTGGCGGAAGGACGGGCTCCAATTTGCTGAATGTATGAGTCAAGGAAACACAAGCTAAACCAAAGAAATAAGTAAGTAAAACAGTATTTGTGTTTCTAATTTAAAACTAATTCTCCTTTTTCTTTCCCTACCAAGAGTACTATTAAAGCTTTGGTTCTAACCAAACCAACAGTTGGAGTCATGGCCGATGAAGTTTGGCTCAGGGCAAAATGGCCAGCATGCGCACATGAAAGGATACACGAGGCTGGCCAGTGCCTGAAGCACAAGGGCCCGTGTGGTTGTCGTGACGATAGTGGGGTTCTCAGCCTTGAGCATGACACGCATCTGGGTCACCAGTTCCCCCCGAGAGTGGAATGTGTAAGCCTCCTGCAACCGGTCTGGATGAACCGCGTCAGCAATCATCCGAACTGTGTGGAGCATTGCTTGCCGAACCGAAGGGTCCTGAAATGTGCAGTGCATGTCAAGCACAACAGGTTCGGGCCTTTCTTTCAATCGGGGGGAAAAAAGGGAAATCACCTTGGATGCCTGGTAGAACTTTGCAGCGCTCCTGAGGATTGGCGTCTCCACCCTTGTCGTCAGTATCGACGCCGGGGCTTGCAGTGAAACGTGACCGTAGCTCAGGACAACGGTTGCCAGGAGCTTCTCGTGGTAATTATCGCCCGTAAAATCCTTGAAAGAAGTGCATAGTGACATTCAGATGTCAAATGACGTGCAGCTTAACTAATGCCCTTATCACCTTGTTTAAATTCCGTAAAGATCAAAACACTGTTAATGCTCAGCCTTCCCAGCAACTAACAAGAATGAAATGGGTGTGAAAATGCCTTTCAGGTGAAATTTTCTTTGGTGTCAAGTACAGACAAGCCAGCTAGACAGTTTATTACAAACTTCATTGCAATAAACTGACAGTGTCAAGTGCCAAATGAAACTAGTTTGAATGATTACCTTGAGGAAACTAAGAAGCCCAGAGTTCTTCCTGAGGTCATCCTTGGCCACTTGCTCAAGCTTGACCAGGACAGCATCCAAATGTGACGTTCCGCAGTAGCCAACTGCAACTGCACACCCCTGATAGCAATGAATGAAAAGAGCAGATTAGTCACATAAACAGGCAACTAGTTGTGATGTCCTCAACAAAAGACACACACACATGAAATTGGTTAACAGACAGTTTGTATGAAAGGCACAACCAAAAGGCAGCCACGATTTTAAGCCCCCACTTGCCTCTCTTTCCTCCGGATGAGTGTGGTTTACATGCTCAAAGATCTTGTCGAGAGCACCATTGACAAACTGCTTGTTTGCAACTTTCTTCATCACGACACCGAGCAACTGCAACAATGTGCACTGCAAAAGCATCAAAAAGAGCGCATGAGACAACTGCAACTCAATTTCACAAAGTGCATTAAGAGAAACGGAGAGTGAGCAGACCATGTGGAAAAACAGCACAAAGACGTCGTATGCTACAAAGTCTTCTCGAGAGGCATGAAAAATTAGCATGAATTTCTTGAGACATTTTCAACAATCTATTCTGAAAATCTCGAGGCCGAATTTCCCAAACATTCACCTCGTAAAAGTAGGGAATTGCAAGCTTTTAGACAGAATGAAACATGTTCTGGTCCCAATAAAATTTAACTTCTGACCGGAAAAAAAAAAAAAAAAAAAAAAAAAAAAAAAAGGGTTGCTGGCAGCCAGCACCTATGCGCACCTTGTCCTCGGGGTAGGCGTTGTAGAGTGGAAGCTGCGCTTGCATCGCACCACCCACGGAAATGGTCCAGTCCTCCTTGTCCACCTCCTGGAAGCACTTGTGAGCCAGCTCAAGGATCTGCTCCTTCCATGACTCCCTTTCCAAGGACTCGGGGTCGTCGAGGGCACCTACGCAGAAGGCATCCAATGCGCTCTACAATAGCCTCCCAAAAGTTTTTATAGTCCACTCTTAACGCCGAATTCCCAAACCTCACTTGAACTGAGGCGCCCGTCCACTTCTTCAAGGAAGGCGCGAAGGCTGGTGCTGGGGCCAATCGCGACGACGGATAGGCGGCCTAGGCTGCTTATCCGTTCTCGCGATTGGCCCCCCAGCGCCGGCCCTTGCACCTTCCTTGAGAAGGAGGAGGGGTGCCTCAATTCGAGTGAGGTTTGTGAATTTGGCAGTTAAGCGCGCCATTAGGTAGGGAGCACAAAGAGCACTCGAAAGAGCTTAGAATTTCGTGTGTTGAAAAATTAAACCCTTCAATGTGGATTCGCATGACCAATAGCATACAGGCAAAAGGACTGCATTTGTCAGGTTAAAAGCACAAATAATCTGACAGGGATTTTGAGAGGGAGTGCCACTTTCACCTGCCTCATGAAACTGACTCATAACAAATTTTGTGACATTTAAAAAGTGGCTTTAAGGAACACATTTGTTTTTTTGTTTTTTTTTTCATCTTTGCACGCTTAATGTTTGGTATTGACTTTCCCCTTATGAAATGTATTCCACTAGAAATACCTTTGAGAAAGAAACTAAAGTGAACTGAAAAGCTCTTTTTACACTGGCTTGCTGTTCCAACAGATTTTTACCTTTCAAATTACATTACCTTTCTCATGAATACAAAGGTGGTGGAAAATGCATTACAGCACTTTATTCCAGAATTTAAATGTTGCCTGCACCAACCAAAGCTTCAACAATTTTGTGACACTATTTGACAAACAAAAACAAAATATGCAGGAACTTCCCCAAAATTACCTAGGCAGAATGCAAAAGAGGCATAACGAAAGTTAAAAGAGCCCACACATGTTACCACAGAAACTCAAACTAAAACCAAAATAACCCTCTTCATCTTAGTTTCTGAAGTTGTTTCTCAAGAGCAACACAGGACTTCTTGGCATACTGAAGCAAGCCGAAGTGCTAAATACTTTCATTATTTACAAAAGAAAAGGAGAAGGTTCCTTGCCTTCAAGCCTTAAGGCCATCTGGGGCAGAACCGTGTCCCAGAGTGCAACTATGTCCCTGTGCACCAGGGAAGGAATGCAACGCAGCAAGCGCAAGATGTGCACACCCCGGTTTCGGTGGGCAAATGGGTCTCCCAACATCACAAACAGGCGAGCAAGGAGAGCCTGCGGCCTGGGCACTCCAGCTTGTGCAAGAAGAAACAATGAAAAGCATGTTTTTTTTTTCTTCGTACAGTCATCAAACTCAAGAATGCAGCAATGTTTAGTTTGAGCTGAGAGAATGGACTTTTGTAGAGCCTGCTTACGATTCTTTTGATAGTCAATTTCTACAGCAGTCGACTGTTCACGCTTCTTGGAGGCAAAATTAGCAAGGCACTTGCAAAGCGTGCCTACAGCAGGGGTCAGGTCTTCTGACAACAGGTACTCAAACAGAGAAGGCCACAAAATCTGTAATGCGAACGCTCCGTCAGCGCAAAAAGCAAGAATCCACAACCATCGAGACTTAAGTACAAAACGAGCGTGTTGGTAACAATAATTAAACATGAGACTTAAGTACAAAACGAGCGTGTTGCTAACAATAATTAAACATGAAACATCCCGCATTTCCACAGCTCCAAGCGATTAGATGTCACCCTCACGAGATCGTCCTTCACTCGCTTGCCTCTACATCCTCTCCCATCACCTTTCCCCCTTTCCAGTGTGGCCTCTTTCACCCTCCCCTTCTTAACCTATATAGGCAAACTTCGGGTCAATAAAGGTTGTTGCTAGTTGGAAGTCTTTGTTGTCTGTCCCCCCTTTCTATGTATCTTCCTCATGTTTAACATTGAGACTTGCTTCGTATGTACCATACCTTTTCAATGTTGTCAATGGTGGTTGTCAGAAGCTGGAGGACATTTTCGCACATCGTTCGCAGTGCTTCGTTGCTCACATAATCAAAATCCATGGGACGTTTCGTCTATGCCAAACAGAAATGGGTGAGGAACTTGATAGAGCAGCTTTGTCCAATCATCAAATCTTACAATGCCTATTAGCTGGTAGTGATGCAAAACTATCGATAGCAATATCGATACTATCCATAGTGTAAGCCAAGTCTAACTATCGATAGTAAAAAAAACTATTGATAGTACTCGTATTGATAGTTGACTATTGTAAAACTATCGATAGTATACTATCAATTGTGACTATCGTGAAACTATTGATAGCCGACAATCGTAAAGCTATCAGTAGTATTTTATTGGGTGACGAAGGACCTCAAGAGTCCGTCTAGAAAATGTGCAGCTCAGAGAAAAATGCAATAGCAATTAGGGACTTCCGGATAATTACTCAGGAACAATCAAAAGCCTATTGAAAAACTATCCGAAAATGGTAGAAATTCTTTCTAGAAACTATTGACAATAAACAATGAAGAAACTATCGATTGTATACTATAGAAAAACTGTGAATAAAAGATATTGATAGTGAAACATTGATTATTTCCTTTACAAGCTGTCATAGTTTTTCTTCGGGTTTTAAGATTGTTTTTCAGGAGTTTGCACTTTGTTTTAAAGCGATAGCTTTACATGCGACACTTTACACAGATTTCGAGCTTGTGAGCTATTATCGCCGCTATAGAAAAAACCTTCTCTTCCCTCTTGGTGCAAAGAGAAGGAAAAAGAAACCCTGCTTTCTCCCCTCTTGGTGAGAGGAGAGGGAAGGAGAAACCCTTCTTCTCTTGGCACGAGGAGAGGGAAGTCGGGTCGGCCGCAGAGAGAGAAGAGAGGGTACCCTGGGCATCCCGCCAGTAACAACACAACGAAGGGAGAGTCTTCCTGTCGTCTGCTTGAAAGACTTGTTTTCAAACATTAATTGCGTTACGCGAAATTTCACTCTGGCAGTATCCAGTACCAATGCGTAATGTTGGATGGTCTTAGAAACTTCCACCGCGCTTACCCACTTACTTCACGAATCACTGGTGGCGGTCGTCAGTGGCATCCATGACGGCTATGCACACCCATCCTCGGGTATGCGACGGCACCATTCCACCCGCATTGCGCGACCGTGCTACAGCTATTGCTTTCATTTTTTTTCATAGACAGAATTTAATAAGGAAAATGAAAATATATTTGTCTCACCTGATAAGTAAACTATGCATCCCATCATGGGATCATGAGTCATGACTGTACCCAAGTGAAAAGGTAAGTGTGGCATTTCATTCAACCAAACAGGTTACGAGCACGAAAGGAAACAATACTGCCTTTTAAATTCACAAGTTTCTCTTTTTTTTTTTTTTTTTTTCACTGTAATAACGCATTTTTGCCAACATTGTCTTACTTGGATCATAGGAATTTTTTTCTTTTATCTTTTAATTTTTATCCAATTAACTATTATGTTCTCAAATGTGCTGTAATTGAAGAATAGAAAAAAAAAGTGCATCGGTAACTATCCATGTTGGTTTGGTATGAGCTTTTTATCTGGCAATGTTTCGTTTGAAGTATCCACAGCCAAATTTGTTACATTTATCGCCTAAAACGACTTCCTTACACATTATGTGACGAGGCCTATATTATGAAGTTGTATTTTATATTAACAGGCATCTACAAGGCATCATTATCAAAATCTGTGAAAATAGAAGCAAAGAATAAGTGACAATATATTAAGGCGAACAAGCCTAGCCATTTTGTCAACAGCCTTCCCCATTTTCGGGAATTAGCTTCAAATGGTCATCAGTTGAAAAAAAAAAGAAAAACGTTATAATCCCCAGCAGAGTGCCCCATTTTCACCTGTTAATGGTCAAGACTATGGAAGGTAACATGTGACAATTGAATAATAAAAGAAACAAAAGCGTGAAACAAACCAGTGAAAAACCCTGATGCTAAATATCTTTCAGCGGGTATATGAAACTGCGAAACTTAACATCAAACCCGAGGAATATACAAATAATGTGGACAGGAAAAGTAGCAAAATGCCATTTCTGTTTTATGTCAATTATTTTAAGCAGTGTCTAGTGTTACGACCGATGGAACCCGAAACAAAAATTAAAGTTACGATGTAGCTTTACCCCAAGGTTTCTATTTACGTCCGACGTAACCCAATATGAAAATTAAAGCCAAGTCCCGAGGAACTCGAAAGAAAAACTAAAGTGACGTAACTTTACCCCAAGGTTTCGGTTTACGTGCCATGGAACTCGAAAGAAAAATGAAAGTTACGTTGGATGGAAATAAAAATTAAAGTTATGTCCTCTGTAACCTATGCAACCTTATTGAATGTTACGCCTTACGGCCGATGCATGACAAACAAAAAAATATTGTGAATTATTGCTACATTAAGTTTGATGCAGCATTCGTTAGTTGGTTGAAATCGCGACTTCATCTGTACCTCCAAGTTTGTTAATGGGGCTGGAGTGTGTTCCTTGTGTATCAAGGCTGCTGAGGCAGGGGACGTGACTTTGCTTTTCATATTGGGTTACATATTGGGTACTTGAAATCTTGGGGTAAAGTTACATCAGACGGACGCAACTTTAATTTGTTTTCAAGTTCTGTCGGACGGACGTAAAGCTAGACACTGCATTAATTTTATGAGAATGCAAATTTATGTTTAGTTGCCATTCTATTTCATATTTTGCCCAAAGTCCTGCATTCTTTGCCCATACATATCTGTCGTCATTTCCTTTTTGGGCTGTGCTTTCACTCTTGTAACACTCCAAAGTTTTCTGAAAGTGGACTTTCGATAGGATCTATACTGAACCGAGGGTCAGCTATCGATAGTACTATTGGCAGTAAACTATCAATAGTTTATCGATAGTACTAACGATAGTCAATTATCAATAGTACTAATGATAGTCAACTATCGATAGTACTATCAATAGCAATGTTTTTAATAATCAAAGAAAAAATCGTAAGGGTGCAGGCGAGCTGGTGAATATTAACCATGTTGAATTAACCCGAGACTGGGGTAGAGAAGAAACATCAAAACGCAGAAGGGACAGAAAATAGTGATGGCATAGCATAGGGGTTAAGGTAAAATAGCGATGGCATAGCATAGGGTGTCCGCTTTATACGCAAGTGGACGCACGTTCGATCCGCGGTGGGCCTACTTTTTAAATGGAGACGTCGTCCTGTCTATTTTCAGTCCCTCCTACGTTTTGATGTTTCTTCTCTACCCCAGTCTCAGGTTAATTCAACATGGTTAATGTTTTTAATAGTTTTGCATCATTATCAGTTGGTCAACATTATGCCAAATGACTTGAGAACACAGTATGTCTGTATGTACCATTAAATTAGACATGGCCCAATGAGTGCAACAAGAGCAGGAAAATATCATTCTCGTGCCTCATGCAAACTGTGGGCTTCCCTTCAAACATCCTGTGCTTTGCAGTACCTCTTCCCTATGCAAAAGAATTAAAACAGGGAATGCGAAATCGCTAGATGTTCCAAGAACTCACTGTGTCATCTGGAAGGGCGCACTGACGAATGAGAAACTCAATCATGGAGTGACCTCCCTCCATTTCAAGGTAGCCATGATGTGCAAGTGCCACAATAACTTGAGCCAACACCTTCTTGACCTGCACAAGTTAGCACAGAGAAGGAACAAAAATTAGGCGTCTAGCAGAATAGGGAAAAAAGTGCACTACACTGATCAAGACTCCACAAAAAACAGCATCTGTTTCACTACTACTTTCAGGGAACAGAAAAATTTCAGTGACTTCTAAGTACAGGAAGCATATTAATCGAGGGCAATTAATTAGCCTGCACGAAAACCCCATAGATAGCGCATGCAACATGTCGTTACAGCCGCTTAACAGCGAAACTGGAAGTGGAACATAAGAAAATGTGGTGCCGCGGTGCCAGGTCGTGCCAGCAGGTGGTGCAAGTGGTTTCTTAGGCTGCTGCTTGTGCATTTTCTTTAACAGTTGTTTAACGGTAGTTTTGATGATTTTTCAGCCAAGAGAAAAATAGGAAAACCTTCAATTGCATGTCTGCACCATGTCATGCTTCATACATATTCTACCTGCATTCTCAATATTAAAGAGACAAAGTTTTCGTGTGCCATTGGGACGTCACCACAAATTTTCTGCGACACATCCAGAGCCTTAAGTCACTACTGGCTGGTTAGGGGTTTTTTTCCTCTCACTTCCAGCACCTCCGCCGAAGTCCATGACTCCAGTGTGGCAATATTTCTTGTCCAGCCCTACCAAGCCTGACTGATCACTTATTGCCAAAGCATAATCATACCTCGACTGGTCTTGTTAAGAAAAATTTGAGCGCATAATACGCCGCAGCCCGGCGAGAGCTGCCAAGGCCTCGGCGTCGCCGCGTGCCAACATTGCGAGATGCTGCAAGAGGCGCCAACAACGAAGCCGACACAAGGTAGGCGGCGCTGCAGGGGCAATGCTTGCGACAATGCTTGTCAGGGCGTCTCTCAAACACCCGTCCTCCAGCACGAACTCGCCTGTGCTCTCACGTCGCGTTTACATTCGAGGCTCACGAGATGCCGAAGCGTTATAGAAAGGTAAAAAGAAATAAAATGGATACTGCTTTTCATTCTCCAAAATTTGTCCCCTCGAAAGCTCGGCAGTCGATTGTAGAGCAAACGATTGCTGGCATCCTAGGTTGCTAGTTCGAACCTGGCTCGACAGACAGAACTATTTGCTTCATATGAACTCGGCGGTGGCGGCTGGGAGCTGTCACGCATATGATGACGTCACCGGGAGTTTCCGTGCAGGAGACCCACGCATTTTCCCTGGAAGGTTTCCACTAATAGCTGTCGTTGTAAAACTGCCAACAGCACGTCTTGTGATGTGACCTTCCGTTTGCAGGGAAAAGTTGCCAAGGAGGAAAGAATAATCTCGTACCCCAAAAGCCAACATGTATAAACAGAATTTTGTTCCTCACTGACTTATGCCTATATCAGCTGCCCTATTATTTTAAAAGTAAGACAAAATGTATTCACTCCTTCGTTTCAGTTCTTGAAGTAAAAAGCAGCAAATGGGATGGCTATCTTTTGGAGGCGAGTTATCTCGTGATATTCGGGCAAAACAACTGTTAGATTTTTCAGCTTACTTTATTGCTCTGGTCGTTGAAAACTGAATGAAGACCCTGTGTTATGTTTCGCATTCTGTCATCCAGACTCATGTCTGAAAAAGAAAAGTTTTTGCACCAAATTCCACTTGAAGTAAAAATGAGTGGAGGAAAGTCACCTAAAAAACATTAGATGAAAACATCACCTACTCCTCCCACCTGCAGAATTGATGATGTGCTTCAGCACCGTGAGAGCCCCAATTCTTGCTTTCTCATTGCTGTTTTCAACTTTCATTAACAGAAAAGCAATCAGCTTGTCGGGAAACATGGGGGCTTGATTGGAAGGAACAAAAAGAATGCGCAGGATAAATTCCTTTTCTCGGATAAATTCTGTTACACCAAAGTAAGGGTAGGGTAATATGGCTTCAACAAATATGAAACAATAAGCCCAACTGTTATAAGCATTTGTACAATACTGAATTCAATGATTTACATCAAACAGCTCTTTTTACACCTTTAACATTCCTTGTGCTGTTCAGAGCTTCACATAGCACACTCATTGTTCAATGGATGCTTCCAGGTAATATGTTCTTGACAAAAGCATATGCCAACACTTTACACACATGCACATAAGTAGAGCCCTGCATATCCGCGGATTATCCGTGGATATCTGCATTAAACTGGCGGATGCGGATAAAAATGAATCAGATTTGGCAGATCACGAATCGGATATGGATGCCAGGCGCTGCGGATGTGGATCGGATGCGGATATCCACAGGTCTGGGTCCACATTTTTGCCGAGACAACCATAAATGTGTGCGACCGCTCAGTGTAGAGTGAGTAAGTGAGTGATACTATGAAGTTCATCATCGAATGTATTGTGGGAGCAAATTACTCTCTTAGATAAAAGGTGTCAATCGGGGAGAAAATTGTTCTTTATGTCAAGAAAGACTTGATTTTCACCAGATTGCTTTAAAACGTTCTATCTCGCCAAAAATGCCGTCCCTAGAAAAAGTAAAGAATGCAGGAGCATCAGTCGTCCTAAGAAAGCGTGTTTTTGTTTGGTAGGAAAAGGGTGGAAAACATTCTTTGGGCAAAGAAAACCCAAAATGCACAAGCCACAAGAAAGTAGAAAAAGCCTGCAAGTGGCTTCTTCGCCTACAAGTAGATCGAGGAGAATGAATTCGATTCTCTGGAGTGGTGGAACTTGCGCCAGCACGAGTGTCCACATCTCATTCTTGTAGCGTAGTTCGTGCATGCCAACCCTGCATAAAGTTCACCAGTGGAGAGAGACTCCTCATAGAGGGTATTAATTTAAGAGAGGCGAACTAATCTGAATCTGTCCATGTTGACAATATTCTGTTTCTTCTCAGCAACCTCGACAAGTGAAACGTTGACTGTGTGCGAGTTTTCTTTTTCTCGGCAGTTGGCGCCGAGTTGTTTTTAAGTATATGGTTTCGAGCCTGCGGTTGAGGGCTAGTGTTTAAAACTGAAACCAATAGGTGCTGCCATTAATATTGTGACACTTTCCCAGTGGTTTACTCGTGCCTTTCTAAACATACAGAAGTACTTTGCTGCAATGAGTGAGCGCCTTTGCTTTCCCACTTATTTATTGCTTTGCCTAAATAAAATGATACAATGCTATTAGTCCGTCCTTTGCTAATTTTCATGTATATAAAATAGGAGTGCTTGAGCAAAGCAAAAAGGAAAATAAATATTAAAATTTCCTTTCTTTCGAGCGCATCTTCTAGATAGAATGTCCGCGTCACAAACTCCCAAGACGATATCATAACTGCGATCATCTTTCTAGCGATGCAAAGTGCCTCTGGAAGGATGATTCTGTGAATATGATAAAACATAATACAATAAAATGACTTTCACCGTATTCTGACACAAAGAGTTCTTTGTACAAAGGTAAGTAGACAGCTTATAGGATACCATCCAGATGCTTTTTTTAAATTTTTATTCATGCTTGATATTTTATGATGCAAAATGAATGCGCAGATTGAGGGTCGGATGCAGTTACGAATTTTGCACAGCTGTTCGCATGCGGATACAATTATTAAAGAACATTGCGGATGCAGTTCAGATGCGGATACCAAGTCTGCAGATGCGGATCGGATACAGATGATTAACTTGTTATCCGTGCAGGGCTCTACCCATAAGGTCAAGATGGGAACGATTCTTTTCATGAAATAAACAAACATGCGACACAAATCAATCTCTACAGTGCAACTACAAACTATATTCCTGGCAAAGCAAAAGAGAAGCATTACCTAGAACAGTGAAACAACGCAGAGACTCATTGTGATTGCGAACACTCATAGGCTCAGAGTAATCGGGAGGATTGCACACCTGGACAGAGAAAAAAGAAAACGCAACTAGTCAGATGCTAAATACAGCAGTTCCAGAAGACTAACTAAACATACACACACATACTAAACATTTGGAGAAGCAATTAGATGGCAAACCTGGGCAAAGATGGCATTGACGAGGCCCTCAAGATACTGTTCTAACGATGAACACTTGTTTTCAGTAGCAGCTTCTAGGATCAGACACAAGCCCTGCAAGTGGATGTCAACGATCAAAGACCGCTCCAACAAAGCCCAGTCCACACAGGTCCATCAAGGTGACGTCCCTCAGCAGCCGACATAAACGCAATCTGACGGAGCCACTCTGCTCATCACTTGACGAAAGCATTCGGAAACTTTTCAGGACTCCACCACAAAGTGTTATCATCATCATCATATTTGGGTGGAAGGCGACCAGTGAACCCCACTTGATGGAGCTGCAGGAATGGGGCTTAAAAATTGCATGTTTGCCATTGAGAGAAGGGCCAACGATTGTCACCTTGCTGATGGGATAGCAATCCTGATGTTTCCGGTATAAGGCAACGGTGGAAGTCACCAGCTTAGGCAGCTGTTCCTCAAGCTTTGCTTTGCTTAGCAGCTGTGCCATGCAGCCGAGTGTGACCGCAGACTCCGCCCTGACCTTCAAGACAAAGCGTTTGATGGGACTTTGTTAAACGGTTTGATAAACACAAGATGCGTCCCTTGATTCAACGATCCCAAAAACAAGAAATGGCGATCATGCGTGCATCATGTTATGAAACGAATGACGCTGTGAGAATAAATACCTTCGTTTCCCTGGCCTGCAGCCAGTTATTGAGAAGAAAATCGGAGGCACTGGCCACTTCACTCGCAAAACTTGCTTTCTGCACTGAAGGATCAGGAGCCTTCTCGATGTTGACGAGGTAGTCGAGGATAGCCTCCGAAAATCTGCCCAGCGCTGAAAATGAAAAACGCATTGAGAGAATGACTATATAGTGTTCTTTGCACAAGAATCCAAGGGGGAATCCAAATTGGCAATGTGGTACACATCTTCATATCATCAATGGTAACTGGAAGCGTATGGATTGCAAAAATCTGAGGCCTGCCCCAACTAATCCGATCCAAATTCTTTAAAAATTAATTTTCAACAAAGTTCAATATACTGCAGTAACATTTTTTGCAATGAACGGAGAGCAATAAATTGATCAAGGTGCAGGTGAGGTGGTGAAAGTCATTCTAAAACTTGAAATGAGGTACCACATCCAATTCCCCAGCATCAGGTGTCAAGACATCTTAACTAGTGTAAATAAATTTATTACAAAACAAATTAAAAAGAATACTGGCCTACCTTCATAGCACTGCAATTATGACAGGCGATTGCTAAGAGTAGCTTGAAGCTCATTGACATACGAGTTTCAAGCGACTGACAAATCTTGCAACAAATCCAAATAGCATTGACAAGTATACTTGTCAATGCTATCTGCTGGCTAGCAGATGCTCAAGCGTATTGGCTCTTACCTTTCAGCCTTGCAAGCCACCTGGGCCCGTTTGCTCGAAGCTGGTTAACTTTAACTGCAGTTAAGAGTTCACCTACCTTCCCTACAAGGTAACTACAAGTACCTAGCCAAGTTGACGAGGGCTGGATGAGCGATAGCTCCGTGTTTTATCAGGGGGTGGTAGCTGGTGGCACCTACTGGTTGTAGCGAATATAAGTGGCTTCTGTGGAAAAAGTTCCCAAAAAGGGTGGACACAAAAACGCGCACTATCGGGTTTTCACGACGCAGCGCGGCATACATTTGAGCTTAAAAAACATTTTTTGTTGCTTGTGGTACAGATATTGAGTAAGGTAAAACTAAATTAACCCTTGTTCGGAAAATTTCTAAATACTTGGCTGTTTGAATTAAGACAATACTCCTTGAACTTTTTTTCCAAGTTTGAAAGAGGACGACGAAGTTCAGTCCTGGAAACAATAAGGAAGAAGTGAGCAGTGAAAGGCGGGCGGTACACAGGCAGCATGGTTGGCCAGCATGTAAGGACTGTATATAACACCATCATAAATTAAAATACCTGTTTATTTGGCTCCAGTGAAAATAGACCTATTGGTAAATTACCCAAGCATCGAGGAGAACGCTGGAAGTATAATTCTATGATCCGCGCGCGCTGGCCTTTCCCTTATAGAAGAATTGAAGTAAATAATCATAATAAGGCTTTGACGAACGCGCGTGCAAGGCAAAATTTGTTTTAGGCTTTTTGCTTTAGAACAGTTACTACTGCAGACGCCAGAACGTGCAGTGCGTGTGACTACAGTTGTAACATGCTCCTTGGAGCTTGGGACGTTGTCTGTTTTTGTGTGCTATCAATACCCGGCCGACTGAGTCGAGGCAATCCACTTTCCGAAGACGTTGCCATGCCGACAGTTATCGCGTTCATTTAGGCTTTAGGAATGGCCAGAATAGAAAGACTATCTAAAAAATGTGGCGAGGTCATTGCTCATGCTTTGCGATTCAAGTGAGGTAAGGCAAAGCGAAAGCCTCCTGAACCATTCACTACTGACTAACGCGCTTGATATTGCAGCTGCAGCGACACATTAGTTCCAAAGCGAGCGGCGCTCACTCACCGAGGCACCGCCATTTTTCCCCACCGTCCTTACTCTGCCGGTCACGTGACTTAAAATTCTCCCCTCGTAGGGAAACGCGGTTAACTTCTAACCGCGGTTAGAGTTAACCAGCTTCGAGCAAATGGGCCCAGGGGTAACATAACTTTGTAAATAAAGATTATTATTAGCATTATTATACTTACCAAATGCCATGGCCCACTTCAGTTGTTCCGCACGTGCAGCCCCCAACATTGGGAGCATGGTCCCAAGCAAGGCTTTCAAGAAGGGCATTATGCCAAAGGCTGCGAAAAAACAAATCCCCACTAGTGTGAAAGACCAAAGGAACTACCACTGCATTACAGATGCGTGCAGATATTGTGAGGAGCGGTCAAATTTAAATTTCAACGTAAATGGTGCGCGAAATAACCATGCCTATAGGGGGGGAGGGCACTCTTGTCGTGCGATGCTCTGGAAGTCGTACGTCATTGAAAACAGTTGACATGCTAGCGTGAAATTCAGTAGATGAGAGACATGAGCAAAGAAGTGGCTCATCCAAGTGTGGAACAATGTGTTATTAATAAAGATCTTTTCAAGGAAGGAAACATGTGCAGCAAAGCGAGGAATTGCTGTCGTCGGATATAAGAATTTACAAAGTAAGGCTTTTAAAGAGCGTCAAAAACAAAGCACAACCCCAGCACCCAAGAGCTCCGTCTGCCCCTTATAGCACAATGCTCGGTCACATGCTGCTGCTTGCACGATGACGACAACATAGAAAATGAAGTGAACTGTTTTCCCTCATTCTCCATAAGGCCTGGACCTGTACTTTCATCTCTTTCGGCATATAAAGAAGTGTTTAGGAGGGAAAAACTTCACCAGCAATGAGGAAGTCAATAGGTGTGTTCACAAATGGTTGTGCCTGCAGCCAGAAGTTTTTGTACACAGACTCAAGAAGCTACCGAACCAATGATACCAATGCACTGCAAAGGAGGGAGGGGGGTTACATTTAAAAATTAAAAAGTGGTGTGATTTAAATCAGAGATCCATTAATTTTTTTTTGTACTGATCAAATTATAATTTAAATTTGAACACCTCTCCTGTATGACAAGTAGAAAGTCTGTCTTCCATGTCCCTCTTTCGTTATGTTAAAGATGCATAATCACCAAAATAAAATCATAGCATGCCAGCATGCGCGTTGGCCCATCGAAATTGTTAAACAGCTCAACCGTACTTGAAAAGAAGGGACTTTTAAAACAATTAATATGAAGCTCTAAAGGCACAATGTTTAGTAAATTATAAAATTATAGCTGGTGGGTGAGATAGTAGAGAAGGAAATGTATTTAGAACGGTCAATGTCACAGTCCTCATGAACAATTTTATGCAACATTTTGCAACAAAATCTGAATGCAGGCATTTCAACTTTCTCAAGGATGTAGTAATCCTAGTGGCCATAACTTTGGTAACGGACGGCAGCATGGATCACCCTATCTCAAGCTCCTGCCGCCCACCTTAATTCTACTCCCAGTTCACCTCATTTGCTCCTCTCAAATTATACCTTACGAGAGTTTTTTCACACTCCTCTCGACCTCAATGACCAAACTTCTAAATTCTTCTTTGTGACCCCCTTCATAATTCATTCTCCCTTCTTCAATAGGAAACCTGAGCACCTTCACACATTTTGTTTCTATACGACATATCAAGTTATCAAATTTTCATGATATTCTCGAACAGATTAACTGCAAGATTATTTTCGCAACTATCAGGAATGAGAACAGTTTCAAGATTTTGCCTCACTGACCATGCACATTTTGAGGATAATGCAAAAAAAGGAAAGTTACAGAAAGGAGAGAGGTACAAGAGAAGGAACTCACGATTTGCAAGCGCAAGCCCCGCAAGTGTTTCCAGCACGAGGGGGTGGGGCATTGGGCCTGGCTGAAACTTGGCAGACATCAGCTCCATGGTCTCGTGCGGGTGCTGTCTGCCCAGGGCAATAACAATCCCGCACATCACGCGCTCCCTGTCGGTTCCAATGTCCTGTCGAAAAATCAAAGGGGCCTTACCCTCGCTGCTCGGATAAATCCCCATGAAATGCCTATACGGCATCATTTCATTCATCCCAACCTCGTAGATTTATACACTAAAGCATTTCCAGTGTTCCTACCTTCCCAGTTCTCAAAAGAATGGAAATTAAGAGTGAAACTGCAATTTTTTTTTTACTCCAGCACATACCTTGATTTGGGTCATCTCCTCTATTGTTGTCTTGCAGACATCCATGAGAAGAGTTTTATCAAGATTTTCGACAGAATTTTTGCAAACCTCGTGCATCACCGAGAAAAGCAAGAGCTTGTGTGATGAAGATAGCTGCAATAAAATGGAGATGTCATCTACTTGCATTTTAGGGACATGTCAAAAAGGCTGGGTTCAAAGTGACTTTGTAATCTGTGAAAGAGTTTAAAATATTTATTTCTTCATACCAACACGGTTTAGTAAGCTTGCACAGGTCTCAAATCTGAGAACCTCATTGTACTGAACATAACTGTTGGTTGTCTGTTAGCACACTTTAAAACACTGGCCATCACAGAAAAAATTAAAGCACCTATAGACGGTGACAGGTTCAGAGTTCAGGGGAAGCTCCTCCCACCTGTTTCCACTTCAGCAGAGCGAACGCTGCAGAGGAGGCGACCTCCTCTCAGGCACTTGCTTTACTAAAGTGGAAAGAGATGGGAGGAGCTTCCCTTGAACTCTTAACCTGTCACCAACTATCAGGGGTGGATTTATGGGTCAGGCCTGGGGGGGGGGGGGGGGGGGGGTGCGGTAGGCATTTGGCTGGCGAGGGGGGGCGGGGAGGGGGATTCTGCTGAGATCTGACGTTACGGTTGAAACGTTGCACAGATCTATTTTGTTGATCCAATATTTGCTGTCTCCAAAACCTTAACATTTTGACTGGTGTATGTCAATGATTTTATTGAAACAAAGTTGACCTTGGGGAGCTTAGGGAGGGGGCGGGGGGGGGGGGGGAAGTCACCCCCCCCCCCCCCTGAATTTGCTTCTTCCGACTATAGGTAATGATCAGCACCAAATGTAACGTCAAAAGCAGAGCTTATTTTCTTCATTCCATACAGAGATACATTAGGAAGTCAGTGCAACATATCTGATATTACAATAGATATTACATGCACATTGTATTGCTCTAGTAAAGGGCTGTTGCACTTAAGCAAGGAAGCAAAGGACTAACCTTAGGCTCCTTGCAGACATATCTGTGGCAGCAGCTAAGAACAAGGTTAGGCTGGTGGTTGCCAATAACTTGCAGTGAATGAACAACAGCCCGGCACACATTCTCTTGCTTGTCACCGAGGGTTTCTATGAGGGCTGTTACAATGCCTGCAAGCCACAGTACATTAATTTATGGCAAGAATGGATGCTCAAAAGTCAAGCAAAAGATGCCACTGTAATCAAACCCTCCCTCAAAACTGGAAATTTCGGAGGCAGCAGTCTTTTCAAAACTGGTAAGACACGCATACATTTGCAAGTATATCTATTTATAGGATCTACAGTCTTCGCCAAAATTTTAGAGCCCATTGCACGCGTGGCCAGAGCAAGCCCATTCCTGTGCGGCAGCGCTGTTACCGTTGGCACTCACTGGCTGCAAGTTTTTTGAGAGTGAGGGGGAACTTCACTCTTGCGTTGCGCTCACTTTGATAATGCAAGAGTGAAGTTTCCCCTCACTCTAAAAGTCTCACATTTAGCGAGTGCCGATCGTAGCAGCGCCGCCGCAAAAAAAGCCAGCTCGCTCCGGCCACGCACGTGGCGGTCCCTAAACTTTTGGTAAAGACTGTACCTCAATGTTCCAGTGTCTGTAAAACTTATACCGTTCTGGAAGATTGCTAAAGCCGCAATGTATCAGCTTTCCGAAACAAATGATACCTGCGCAGAAAGCCAGATGAAATCTTTTTATTGTAGGCTATTCCAAACAATAAAATTAAAATGTGGTAAAAGCAGCTAAAGTGAAATGTAATGCTCAGGAGTGAGAATGCATGTCTTCAGGAAGATATGTTCTGTTGGGAAGCACTGGGACACTTAAAGGGAAATCGAAGCAGTTCTGTATTTGAGAAAATAGGGGACCAAAAACCACCAAAAATAGGGGTGGGTTATCTTTCGGGTGGGGGATCTCACGGGATATTACGGTAAATGCCTTGTCAGTCCCCTCTAGTACAGATTTGACCAACATACCCCTAGACATTTTTTTTTATTAGACAAGTTGTTTATGCCCGCAAATTTAGGAATTTAGTGTAAGTCTGGTTCTTGGATTGTAGCTCTCTTTAACCAAGTGATTCTGGAGAAAGTATGAAAAGAGGATGAATATACTTACCGTCCACCTGGCCTCCAGTTTGAAAGGGCATCTCCTCAGCCATTGCTGCACTTTTAGGCTTCACTCCGTCCAGTATCTACATCAGACTGAAAACAAAAGTACAATCTCCACTAAAATCAGTATCTGTGTCGAATGACAGTGCTATTTGTGGTTCAGAGAAAATTGGCAGTGTATCTACTCAACTGTAAATGTAAAACATAAAAAAAGAGTGAATGCCTGCTTAATACTGACCTTGAAATGCATTCAGCTAGCTTTAAAAATAAGACTTCCAACAACAATTTTGTTTCGTGAGTTTAAAATAAAATATGCAGCAAGATCACAAGATGTGTAGTATAGGTATGGGCGCCTGATAAACTAAAAAGCAAACAAAAATTAAACACTTGGAGTCGAAATTATTTTTCTTTTCATTTTAAACATGGGGTTGTACATTGATCTTTAAAAGTTTCTGAAGATTTCATATTTAGGATTAGGAATATTCACTCTTGTAGAAGCACATCATAGGATCGCACCCGACGCCGAGAAAGAAATATTTAGCTACGAACGAGATCGCAAATGAAACCACCGGAATCAAGACACAGAAACAAGCCGTTTTCTAATCTTTACGTGGGAACGCAGTGGCCCGATAGAGCGCCGCTCGGAAGGTGGGCGTGTAGTTTTTCAGGCTGCCTCGAGTGATCGACGTACCGGGCTCCATTCTGCGCAACGTCTGTACGCGTGACAAATATAACTCGGCCACCGTTTAGTTCGGTGCGGCGCAGCTGCCGATGACAGAAGGCCGGAGCAAAACAGGAACAACAAAATAACACTGGTCCGAAGTCCACGCGAGTGTACCAGACAAAACAAACGCGATAAGCAGTCGGCATGACACTTCCCCTCGGAAACGCAGTAGAGGGAAGGGTGGCCATTTCCTTCCTTTACATAGACGGACCCTCCGGACACGGTCAACACATCTCTAAACCCCGAAATATTCGCATATCTACCCGATGGCCGTTTGTTTACTCGAAAGCAGAGTGGCCGGAGGGCGGCCGGCTTAGTTCTCAATGGGTCCTACAAAAAAACTCGCGGCTCGGTGGAGCTTACGGGAATGTTACTTACGTAAAACGTGTCGGTATGCACACTCACGGAAGAACATCATTGACAGTCGTGGCGACAGGTTCCAAACTGGATGCGAAATTTCACTGTAAACAATCTTCACCCATACGATCGCGCGATACAACCCAATCAGCGGGAAATACCAACCAACGTTGGTACCAGTACCAACAGTACTTCTCGCAGGGTGATGATGATGCGCTGCGAACGAGAGTAGTGATTTGTTTTTTACTCTCGATCCGGGCTATCCACCAATGGGTGAACGACAAATCTCTACGGCTTCGGCAGAACACTTGCGGGGGGGCTGGGATACTTTGATACACGCAGCGGCGTTCACTTTTGCTGATTTATGCGCAGAAAATTCTCCTTCGACTGTGTCTTCCGTGCGGAGTGAAGCCTCAAAAGGTACCGTGCACACTGTTTTCTTGCACTCAATGCGATCAGTGGCGAGCCTAATTTGGAGAATAGAATTTGCCGACGAAGACGTCTGTTAATTGATCCGTGCGCTCGCGATAGAGTACTGCGATTGCCTTTTGCGAGGATTCTGCAAGCTTATCGCTTTAACTGAGCGCTCAAGTTCTATTAAAGTGATTCGGGTAAGTTTATGCGTTTTTTAGTATAGCCAGGGCCGAGGTCACTCGTACTAGAGCGACGACTTTTCAACGAGTAATATCCGGTGCTTCGTCGCGCCAGTTATCTCAAGGGACCTCTATGGGATCTTCAAAGCTTGTTGCCACCCAAAACCAGTGAGCATATTCCCTCAGATGCATAAACTCTCCTACTTGCTACCCCCTTTTTAACTGCGCGGAAGCTGCGCTTTCGTAACGAGCTTCGTGGGTTTCGTTTTGATCATCAACAAGCGCTTCTTGCGAACAACATAGCCATTTGAGATTGTCGCCCAGAAACCAATTCCGTGTTTGGTGCAGCCGAGTAGAGACTCCGCTCCTTTCGGCTGCAGAACGCGTGTGTGTCGTCAGACGTAAGAGACACGTAGAGTAACATTTGCTTCGATGCCTTCAAGTTTCGTGCAGCTGTATACGACATTGTTGCTGCGAGCGAGTTCCATGATGAAATAAAAAAAAAAAAAACACTAATCCGATTCGTTCAACATTTCTCCAACAAGATTAGTTGATAGCAATTCCATCGCGACTAGCTGAATAATTTCGTTTGCACAATTCACATATAAACTGTTTTCGAAAATAGTTTTCGCACTTTTGCATCAGCAAAGCGGAGTCAGAATCTAATAGAAGTATATCAAGCAGCAATTTATCGCTCTTCAGATTTTCATGTAATTCTTTGTACCCACAGGAAAAGAGGCATATCAAACATTGCGAGGTAACCGTTTGATGGAGGCTCTTAACATGAGCGCCTGCTTGGTTATCCGGGCGCCCAACCAAAAATTTGGGGACCAGCCCGTTGACTGCCCCCTCGACTGGTCTGTCCAACAGCTAAAACAGCACCTCTCCAAAGTTTACCCAAGCCAACCCGTAAGTGATGCCGTTGAACTTTGTGCATTCATAATTGAACATTGCTCCGTTTCTCCATTTTGCATCTCGGGTTCCTAGCCACTGGTCTTTAGAAGTCACAATGGCGGGAATAAATTCTCTGTTTTATTTTGTATTCTTTTCAAACAGTATGCTTCGCTGTCCTTTTTTTTTTCTTTGCTAGTGCAGCAGATGTTTCAAAGTTCACTCGTGCTGCTGATGCGAGTAAGATTCACAATATCAACAACATGTTGACATCTTCGTTTTGGGTTTAAAAAAAAATTATAATTTTAGTCAATTCATTTGTGTAGAGAGTATATGATGCAATGATCCCATCTTCTTGCATTATGTTTTTCAGAGGCCAGAGGATCAGAAGCTGATTTACTCAGGCCAGCTGTTAGAGAATCAAATGTCCTTAAAGGATGTTTTTAGACTGGTAAGTCTGCACAACCATCTATTTTTATCTCCGGCCTGTTGCTGACCCCTTCATGGCAGAAACTGGAATCTCTATAACCTGGGGTTCGCCGGTTCCAGTGCTCGGCCACCATGGCAGATTTACTCTTGATCATGGCTCGTGAACAATCATCTCTGAATGCGAACAGTATAATTCAGTTCCGCAACGCAGGGCTGCAGCATGTGGAAGGATAAAACCTTGTTTCATCAGTTTCTCAACACCAACTGAATGTGCCAGACTGAACACGCATACCATGAAATAGAGTTTTAGTATTGCGTCTAGGAGGAAATGCAAGCACTGTGTGTTTGCTTTAGCGTTGGGTGTTCCACGCTGTGCATGCGCGTCGTTGCCATGCTCTAATTTAAGATGGCAGTTTAGGAACACACAATGCTAATGCAAACAGAGTACTTGCATTCACTCGTATATACAATACTAAAACTCTCTAATGATTTTTGAACTTCTACCTTCTTACCTTTTCTCCTCAACTCAAAAGTGAAATGAGAAATCACTTTGTCATGACATAGCATTTCACTGGATGCAATGACTGCAATCTTCCACAGTGCTTTTTAAAAGGACAATGACACCCCCCAAAAACAATTTTTGCCAGGCGATTTTTTATGGTATCGGAAGACTACCCAATCAGTATTTTGTCACATATATCTTTATAAAGTAAAAAACCCCAACTGCTCGAAACCGATACTGGACTGGGGAGGCGGAAAAAATATAGAGGAGGAGAAAGATACCGAAAGTCACGTGACTGCAACTTTTTTTTTTTTTTTTTTTTTCAATTTACATATTTGCAGCTTTTTAGAAGTTAAAAAAATGGAAATAATATTTTTTGTATATTTTTAGTATTGAGTGTGTGCCTTCAATGACCCACGACTTTGATTATCTTTGGTGGTTGTGTCTAAACCATAGAAGATGACACGTGACCACGAAGAAGAGAGTGAGCGCGACCAGTTCTCGATCGGTGGTTTTGTGGCGGAAAGAAAACAAATTTTGAGCCGCAAATCGTGTTCTGGGTAGTTGGGCTCTCATATGTCATGTACAAATAAAAAACCTTGGTGAGCATAAATACCCTGTCAGTGTCCCTTTAAGTACACCATGGAACTTGTCATTCGCAAGTGATGATAAATGCTGTCATGGTGCTCATTGGCCACAAATGCGTATCCAAATATTCGTTAGACATATTGATTGTTGACAAGCGCATTCGTCCGAGTGACGCAGTTCTGGTGTACAATTTTGGCTGACGTCCATGGGCACCGCGGATGCATCACAGTGAAAAGGCGGAGAGCTTTTGAAGCAAAGAAGGAAAAAAATAGTCCGCTATATTTTCAAATTTATGTCCCGAAAAGCAGACTTTCGGCTTTCTGCCCTCGTGTACTAGTTTTCTTTTGGCTTATTAAACGATAGGCACTTAGTAAAATTCCAGTCTAAAAATCATTTATCCCAGCCCAAAATTTATTTCATGGTCCCTTTAATTAGAAAGGCTATGACTGATAAAATGATAGTGTTGTCACATCTTTTCTTTTTCAAACATGTACGACTTCACAGCTAAGAGCGTGGGTATCCGCCATGCTTTTGTATAATACTTGGGTAGTAATTCAATTACAGTAGTTGAATTACTGTAATCTATTTACTTTCTTTGTAATTGCAATTGTAAGTAATTACTTTTGGCTAAAAGGAATTGCAATTTAATTACTTTCTAGAGTCAGTAATTGCAAAATTTCGGGCACAATTGCAATTACTTTTGCATGATTTTGCGGCATTGACGGAATTTCTTTGGAAGCCTCGGCGCTCGCACAAGCGGTACTAGCGCTCGATGACACATTCGCACACAGACACCCACACGCACTCACAACAAAATAGCATCACTTTTTGTTTTTGTTTTTGTGGCTTACAATGCGGGCTGAGAGACAATCCTTTTTTGGAGCTTATCTCAACGGCGCCGTGTAGCGCCGTCTGCGGTGAGAGCAGAATACAGTAGCGTAAACATGCCATAATTTTGAAAGAAAAAAAAAATTGAGCTTCAGGTTTCATTGTCGTTGGAAATTTTAATTGCCTATGAAGTTATTTTTCTTTCTTTTTTTGCCAGTTTTTTATGTCTTTCTTCCAGTACTGTCGCACATTTGTATCTTTGTAATATTCTCAAGTGATTTCCTTTTGGTTTTGGTTCGGATATCATTTGCATAAGCATTTTGTAAACTGACCTCGCACCCGTGAATATTGTCACCAATGGTTCGGGAGCCCCGATTTGGTTCTCATATATTTCTGAGCCATTATAATTTCAACTCAACATAAATAATTTACAATAACATGATGTTTTTATGTGAATGTGGTCGTATTAGTGCATGTGGATTTTAGTTTTATATTAATACTCGTAAAATATTCATATATGACTAATTGTTGCATTTTTATTTGCGACCCAATTTGTCAACCCAATTTTTTCTTTAGTGATCTCTCGTCTTCCAGCATATGAACTAATTTAGTATTATTTATTAAAAATATAGGAATGTAGTACTTCATTGCCTCAAGCTGTCAAGTTCTATCATGAATTTAACAAAATTCATAAAAGGAAAGTAGTACAATACGTGACATTTATGCAGCGATGCTTAAGCCTCCTCAAGGAATGAAAAAATGTGTGGCATTCTGTACAACTTGTTTAAAGTTATATGGCCAAAGTCGGGTTGCTCTCAGAAATAAGTAATTGCAAAGTAATTGCATTACTTTCTAAAAGTAATTTCTAATTGTAGTTAAACTACTTTTGGCACAGAGTAATTGAAGTTAAATTACATTTTGTTAATAATTTACCTTTGTATGTAAACCAATAGGAAATTACTTTAAAATAATACAAAGATACAAATATGTGACAGTACTGGAAGGACATAAAAAACTGGCAAAAAAAAAAAGAAAAAGAACTTCATAGACAATAGACCGATCTCACCAAGCGTTCGACGCATGCCCAAGGCAGCCATAACTTTAATTTACAGGGGGCAATTGGCAGTGCACAAGACTGTTCGTGCCTTGCACGCGCAGAGCTCCAGTGAGGTTGTCGCACGCACAGAAAGACTAAAGTTCCCTCGATGCATTGCGGCAGCGGTGGCGTAGTCAAACTGGCTGGTGAGATCGGTCTATTAAAATTCCCAACCACGGCTGAAAGCTCTAACTAAAAGGTTTTTTTTTGCAAATTATGACACGTTTACGCTATTGTATTCTGCTCGTACTGCAGACGGCACTACACGGCGCCGTTGAGGTAGGCTCCAAAATAGATTGTCTCTTAGCCCGCAGTGTAAGCAGCAAAAAAAACAAACAATGTAACGCTATTTTTGTTGTGCGTGTCTATGTGTGCGAATGTGTCATCGAGCGCTAGTACCGCTTATGGGAGCGCCGAGGCTTTCAGAGAGGTTCCGTCGGCGCCGCAAAGTCTTGCAGAAGTAATTATAATTGTGCCTGAAATTTTGCAATTACTGATGCTAGAAAGTAATTATATTACAATTACAATTCCTTTTTGACAAAAGTAATTAATTACAATTTCAAATTACCAAGAAAGTAATAAATTACAGTAATTCAATTAGTGTAATTGAATTACTACCCAAGTATGACAGTCGCACGAGTACCAAGCCGAAAACTGCTGAGTGACAGCAATATGTCTGTTCAAAAATTAACCTCGCAACACAGTCAATTTTCCAAGTGCTTAGCAAAGTGGTATCTGGTTGGTAGGTATCTTACACTATTTTTGAGGGGCATTTAAGTGATAATTTGAATTTAGATGCAAAAGTAAAGTGGGCCTTCAAAGCCCTTATTCTTTTATATAAAAAAAAATTGAAGAGCGAGGAAGCTAGATGAAGGTCATTGTTGACATAATCCATTCTTGGAACACTGGGGGAAGGAAAAAATATGCCAACGTTGGTGGTTGGTCATTTATGTTTTCCTGCACCCCCCCCCCCCCCCCAGGAGGGGATGCCCTGCGTACTTAATAGCTCGCAGAAGTGGAAACATTTGTATCGCTTGCTGAAACCAGAATGCCAGTTGGGCTAAAGCAATGCCATCTTCACCCATCTACAACCCTCACTGTATCTGCCATTTTGGGAACTAGTGCCACCACCTATAGACAGTTTGAGTTGTGAGTAGTAGCTCAAGAACATTACCTCCGCTTAATGAGGAGAGAACATTAAACAAAATCAGTGGGGAAATATGTTTGCATTTGGCATGGGGAAACTGTTTCACCTTTGCTAAAAGGCTAAAGAGCCTCTGATAAGGCATTTATGTGTGGCTAAATTTTTACAGAAACATGGTGCTCAAAAGTCTAGCAATAAAAAAAAAATTTTTTTTTTTGCTTGAAAACAATTAGTGGACTTTCCTCACTCTCATTTCCTCAGCTATGGGCAATGATGATATAAAACTCAGTTTATCTTAGAAGTACTAAGCTGTCTGAGGCACATATTCATTACTAAAAATTATATAACCTGTAAAACATAACTTTCATGGTCACCGAAACCACATTGATTTAAAGGAACTTTGGATGCATTGTCATGGGGACCAAAACCGCCCGGGTGACCTCCAGTCTCTCTGACGTCGTGCTCCTCCGTGCTGGTCCTCTGGTTTCGTTTTCGCTTTGTTTTTCTCAGGAAATGCATTACTCAAGTAAACAATGAAATGAATTTGATGGTGTCTTAACGCTTTATTCTAACCCTTTGGAGAAAAAAAAAAATATTTATGTTTTGGGTTAGAAGTGAGGCAGCAGCCCTCAGTCAGGTGCATGCTTGTTAATTGTCTTTCTTTTCTTTTTTTCTTCCTGGCCTGAAGGACACTGGGAAGACTCACATATTGCACCTGGTGTGCAGATCCTCCAGAGAATCTCCAGAGTCGTCTCATTCAGCCATTCCTCTTGTACGTTTGGGCCTGCTTATTTTGGTGTGGGACTTGTGACAGCAGCAGTTGGGTTTTATTCCTGAAACTGGAAGAGCCTGGATTACAAAGTTGGCAAGAGAAACTGTTTTCAAACTGGAGATAAGGTCCTGCCTAAAATAGAAAAAAAAAAAAAGATGATAGGGTCAGTGACACTAGCCCTACAGATTATCCTTTAGTTTGTAAAAAGGGTTACCGGACATTTCATTGAGAGCCGTTTCATAGAATGTCGTTTCATCAAATAAGTGGACATTTCATAGAACGCTGTTTCATCGAATTTCTCTTCACTGAATTTCGGAGCATTATTGTACTTTGTAAATATATTGCTGTCGCTTTTGAAATTGTTTTGACACTGCTCTCGAATCACCAGAAATAGAATTGCTGCCTTTGTCATTTTTTTTTACGTAAATGTTGATTACAGCTGAATCATGGAAAGTAACTATCATAACAAGACATGAGCGGGTAACACTTTTCTAGTGAGATAAGCGGTTCTTCACCACACACTTTCTTCCCACTTCATCTCCCTATTTGTTGGTGTATGAAAGGCACTTTCTGAAAAGGGATAAAGATCTATTCTCAGCTGCGCCCTTTTTATTTTGTATTTGTCTGTTTACCTGTGTTTTCTTTCTGTCTTAGGAGAATACCTTCCCCTTTAAAAATATGGGTATAAAATCTGACAGGTCTATGGTTCTGTCGATTACAATAAATTAACATTGAGGGGAGACAAATCTTTTTTTATGTTTCAAGCGACATGGAGATGGGTCTTTGCTTCAAGGATAGCTTCGTCTTGAAGCAGAATACGTCCGTTCAAGGACCAAGATATGCCCTTGAAGGGACACATGTTTGCCACTGCACCCGACGATCACAGGCTGAAAAAAAATGTTGATTCAGTGTTCCCCGTTTTTTATTGGCCTCATTACCAACAGGAGTCGTCACATTTCTTTTTACTGTATTGACCTGCTCAACTGGAAAAATAAATTTTATAAATTATATTGATTATTACAACACTGCTATTGTCCCAGTGCTAAAAGAAAAACTTTACTAGATACAGAATTCCCGCTGCTCAAGTAGGCAACGTTCGGTGAAACGGCTTCAATGAAACGGCGTTCGACAAAATGGCGTTCTATGAAACGGCATTCAATGAAACTGCTTCGATGACACAATGTTTGATTAAACAGCGTTCTGTGAGATGTCCGGACCCATGTAAAAAGACCCCTCACGGTGAGGGTGTTAAGCTTTCTGCAAGAAAAAGACAGCAAAAGTGCAGTTTGCATGTTGTTACAATGCCATGTTCCTGTTTGGCGCACAGTTTAGAGAAAAAGAAAACATACTTTTTCGGGCCTTTTGTTTTTGCAAATAAATCAGTGATAGGTGATGGTGGTTTTCTTTGGTCGTGGAGCCTAAGGAGTTTTGTTTCATTGCTCGCTTTCTCATGGTAGAGGTCAAACCCGAAGCATATCTGTATAACGGCGAAGAGTTGAGCTTGTTGGTACATAGGAGCGTTTGGATACTCATGTTGAGCGTGCCAAAAACTGCTAAAGAGCCTCACTAGTATTGAAAGACTAGTCAAGTCCATGGGGGGGGGGGAAGTAGAAGGCTCTAAGAGGACAATAAAAAGTGTCTGTGTAGAAAAACACGCTGCAATTTCAGTCGAGTCTCTGCTCGTCAGGATTTTTGTAGCTTGCTCTAGCTGCACACTTTTGACAGACTTGCCAGTCTATTTCATTTTGTAAATGTGCAGCATTGAAGCATCAAATAATCACGAATTTTGATTGCATTTGGCAAAGAGTGGAATGAATGATTGGTCATTGCATTGTTTTCATGTTTTTCTTTAGAAGTCCGCCAGCCAATCGGGGTTTGCCCCGGCAACCAGTTCCGTCACAAGCATGCCTTCAACCTCTTCTGTCGGGTCAAGTGTATCGTCTGCAAGCAGCGATGGACTGCGACACCGAAGCACGAGGTAAGATGTGCATTGTCTTTGATGCATACGAGTGGAATTGTTCTCTCCCAATTTTAATATAATTTTCTGAATTTTTTTTTTTTTTTTTTCACATAGAATGTTTTAGCACACAATCATTAGGAACGTCACGGGAAATAGTAGTTTTCATGCTTGTTGTGAGCAGGGCAGAAACAGTAAAGGACATAATGGCAGTTTTTTAGAGCTGGCTCAAAGCTAGCAGCGTAGTGTCAGTACACCAGGGCCTCGCGTGACTACCGTAAAATACAGGAAGAGCGCCCACCCACTTTCACTGAATATTGGGTCGCTCTAGACATGTGAACTTGTCCGGTCAAATCGGGCACTTAACGTACACAATTCTCAAGTTTGGGAAAAGTCAATAATGTGTGCTGCAACGAAGTGGGCGCTTCCGCGGTATTTTACGGTAGTCCAGTCTGTGACAAGTATGATGCGTCAACCTCAAATTGGGGCATTAAAAGGCAGAATGGCAAGAGGTCGCTAACTATGAATGAGAAAAATCCTTCGTTAGTAAAGACACAAGTGTGCGGCAGTAATCGAAGTTGACAGCTTGGCTTCATCCTCTAGAAGCGCTGTGACCTTGAGCAGCCGAGTGCAAGGTTTTTCGCTCCAGTTTTTTTTCCTTCTAAAGCCTCGCTCGCATCTTTGGAACACAGAGGCAATTTTACTCAGTTCATGTCTAGGTTTGGGAAATGTTCTTTCCTAGTTAATTGTGCTCCTAGAAACACATTAATTTACATGTTTCTAAGTAGGATTCATCTGACAATTGGGGGAGGGACAAGTGGTTCACATCTTATTGACTTCTATGCCATGACTGTATGCTGCCAGTCGATTGTGGGGGATTTCTTAGTAGTATTGTCGTGAAACAGCTCGCTCAAGTTTGCCAGCGGACGTAAAAGTGTGCGAGAGGGTGATCAATGCAGCACCGGGGCGGGACCGTGTTCACCGTGGGCATTCCTGTTTTGCCCTGCAGTGGTGTCCAAGGTGCCCAGCAGGCACAGAATGGCCAGTTTCCGCTCCAGTTCCCGGGCTTTCCTGCTGGCAGCGTGCCTGGCGTGGCCAGCCCCGAGCAGATAATGCAGCAGATGGCTGTGGCCCAGCAGCTTTATGCCCAGTACTTTACGCAGTACATGCAGTTGTGAGTGGTCCTTCCTTGCCACCTTTGCCTATGTCTTTCAAAGGCCAGTTCGACTAACTGACGAAGGTCATCCAAAAAAACCGTGACCTTTTCGCATTTTAACATTTTTATTTTAGATACCGAGAAACTAAAAGCCTCTCAGAAGTGAGGTAACTTAGAGACATGTTGTTTCTGTTTTGAAGTCTCTTCATTTGACCATTAACAGCTAGCATGTGTTGCCAGTCTTCTTGGAGTTGTAGTGTTGATCTTCTTATTTATAAAGGTGTCGGTGGTGTGCTCGAAGATACAAAACAAGTAGAGCAACATGATGCAATAGACTACTTCTTTTTTGGTGTGCTGTTTGTCATATCATTCCTTGCATCTTAGTCTGTTTTTCTTTGAACATTTCTTTTTCATCATACCATATTATTACTAGTAACATATTACAAATTTGCTCAAGTCTCTCTGTACTATGGTCTATTAAACTTGCGAGTGAAACCCGGAATTGCAACATAACATTCTGTCAAGATACATGTGTGAAGCAAAATGTCACTTTTTATTTGGCCATTTTCCTGAACAGGTTCTCTTGGCCATGTCACTATTTAAAAGCACACTGAACTCCTAACAAACACTTTTCTAAGTGCCTGGAAAGGACACTTGTGTCACAATGTAAAATTGCTGCGAAAGGACAAAAAAATTTTAGCCAATACTTATGTTGCGGAACTCATTTTGAGTTAGGAGCGCTTTCGAAACTGGCTTCTATTTCGAGATGTCAACCTGAAATAGTTTTATAATTGCTCAAAGGTAATCTCACTAGCGGCATGCCGAAAATAATTCTTTATTAAATAAATTTGGCACGTTTATAAATTAAACTTTCCGAAGTCATTCTTCGGAAGTTAGCAAACCTGAATATAGCATTTTTAAAAAATCAGTGATGGAAGTGATGCACCAAATTGTGCCAAATTGCGCCATGAACGAAAGTCTGCTGCATCTTGCATCAAAATTATATTTTTGCTAAGCCTTGTGCCACACCCGTGTTGAGATAAGCTTGCAATGAACAAAGCAAAAAAGAAAAATATTTTATTATTGGTTGACCCTAATATTCAAAGAAGTAGAAGGAAAGGAAAGAGTTACAAATATCTATTTCACACTCAGACCAGCACTCACAAAACACTTTGGAACTTGCAGGATACACGTCATTGCTTTCACTGAGGTGTTTACTACACACGCGAGATCTCAAATCTCACTCTCTTATTTTCTATTTGATGAGGCATTCCTTTCTCGGTTTTATTTTGTCCAAATAATAGTAAAGAATATGCCCTATTTGCCGTGGTCGATGTAGTGGAGTAAAGCACTTATTCTATTTTCGTCATTCAGCATTTTGTACTGGGGTACAGAGTGCAGCACACCACCATCCCAGCACTTCGACACCTCAGCGTCAAAAGTGTTTGTTAGCATGACTACGCATGCCACGATTTCAAGCTTTGATATCACTTCACCAAATAAACACAGCGCGTGAAACAGGCTTTGCTGCGTGCTACTTAAACAGTGCATGAAGCGAGCTGACGAGCCGAGAGATCCAGGATCTGTGCGGTCTGTCCCAATCTGTCCTACCCATGAAGTCACAAACAATGATGATGATAGCTAGAGAAGTGCCCCCTGTAGTTTGCGCACACCGCCAATATGAGTATGGTGTACTGCCATGGGTGGTGCCGCTGCGGGACGATCGAGCAACACGTCACAATCCCACAACAAAGCTTCGGCCCCCCAATTACCAGGTGCAAGTGGAAAATCGTTGTATTTGTTTTAAAATTTCTTTTCTTGCATTTACAAACAAAAGACTGATGTTTCTCAGGTGCTGATGCAACGTGGCATGTATGTAACTAAGCAATGAAATGAGCTCTAAAATTTTGTTTTCATACTGCTTTGGAAAAACAGTGAACCTACCATAAAATACTGGGCAAGTGGCCTACTCAAACTTTGGAGATAATCACAAAGAAATGGGGGATGGGCGCTTGTCCGATCATCAATTTTACATATAAATGTACTGTGCATATTTTCTCAGATCTTACAAATTTGGGAATGAGCGCTTAATGTGGACTGGGCAGATGTGCGGTATTCTACGGTAGGAGAAAAAAAAAAAAAAAATGTTTTTTCCTACCTGGTTAGGACAAGCATATCTCAAAATTAATGTTAATCCAAAAAAAAATTTTTTTTTTTTCTTCAGTATTTATGTTACTATTAAATTTTTTCGGTTCGCTGGCGAAACTGAAACAGTACTCCTGTGGGATGATGATGATGATGGCATTTGTACCCAACTTGCGACGTTACTAGAACCACTCAGTTGGGAAACTGCCATAGAGCCTGCTCTGAAAAAGTGGCACCGATATGTACTCGAGAACGGAACTAATGGCGATCGCAACGCCGCCTTTTTCTGCAGCAGCGGCCACTCGGAGAACTGCATGGCTGCTTGTATTGGTTCGGGAGTATCGCATTCGATAGCGTCCGCTGTGTCTGCTATTTTGGACTAACGTAGCGATGCAGGCGAGTTGGTTATGTTGTTCGTGTTCCTATTCGTCTTTATTGTGCGCTTTCACTACTTTTCAACATGCTATTTTGGCTTCAATTGGCCATTTTGGCGCCGAAACATATACGGTGAAAGGGGTTTCGGGGATACCAACCCCCGTCTCCCATGTAGACGTGTCGCGAATTCAACCAAAATTAAGACGCGCCCAGGTCGGGACGCGCTACCTGAAATCACTGGTGAGACATGGTTGTATAAAAACAATATTAATTGTGCCGCAAAACCTTGTAAACTAAAAATTTTAGAAAACATCATGCGCCTGTTATTTTGTACTAAACTCCAATAAAAGTTTCTACAAAAAGAGTTTTTTCCGTTTGTTTTGACGCAAAAGCATGCTTCCTGAAAGCTCAAGTTGACCACAGTAAAGAAAAACGATTGAGCCACCATCTTGGCACCTCAAGCCTCGGGAGTTTTGATACTCTGGGAACATTCAGCGACTCTAGCAGTAGCCATATAAGGCAACTTTCATGTTTCAACTCGTCGATAAAGGGTGGCGCTGTTATCATATTTAGCTCGGTCTTGGTGGACGCCAGCAGCCCATGTTTCAACGGTGAGTTTCCCAACTGAGTGTTCTAGTAACGTTGCCGACTTGCGTGCACTTTGAGGTCCGGCAACCTCGGATCGGAGCGCACACAAGTGGGGTACTAACGCTATCATCACCCCACAGGGGTACTGTTTCGGTTTCACCTGCAAATCAAAAAATCTGTATTGTAACATAAATATTGGGCAAAAAAAAAAAATTGTTTTTCTACTAACATTTATTTTGAAATTCCTGTCCTAACCAGGCAGAAAAAAATATTTTTTCCTAGGTTCAATATCCCTTTAACATCCACCACTGCTTATACCTTCCCCAATTGGTACCGGGGGGCCTTCTGTTTTGTTGCTTGTATCACGGCGTCTTCCAAGAAAACCTCTGAAAATATGCCACTTATTGTATGAGCAGCGATTCTCTCGGTGAGATGACTATGTGCTGCGCAGCATGAACCAAGGTGGTGTAGGAGCGGCTGTGGCAGCAGCACCACCCGTTGTGGCTGACCCTGTGCCTCCTGTGCTGGCTCCCGCTGCACCAGTGGCACCCAACAATGTGGCTCCGGTGCCCCGACCCGTGCAGGACAACCGGGGGCTTCGTATGAATGCGCAAGGCGGACCCTTGCTCGACGAGGTACATACCCTTACACTGTGCTTAGTTTGCCCAGGGAGTCGGTTGATACTGGAAAATCTGTTGTGGGGAGTAGACGTAATGCTTTGTTTCTTCCTCACACTACGTCTATCTTCATCTCTCTTCCCAAAGGAATTGTTACGATTGCTGACTCGTTATTAATGCTCTAGCATAAGTACCCACGTGACAGGGAAAAGCTGATGGCGTTTGTCGGGGGACAAAACAGTGGAGACGGGAGTAGAGTAGCGAAGGACAAAGGCAAGAGGGAGGTGATGTCAGGGGGCGGAAGCCAATGTGGATGCTGGGGCGAGTCTGAACTTGCAAATGTGCGGAGCACGTATGCCTTGGTTTGTGCTACAAAATGGAGCGTGAGCCAAGTACTAGCGCTGGTCCAATTAGGCGGCAAAAAATTAAACAGATCTATTGGTGCATTTTCAGGAAATGCATTAGTATGACCCTTGAGTATGACCTAAAGGCAGCAAAAAATAGAGGGAGCGAAGGTGAAAGCCAAAGGAGAAAAGCGAAGAAGTCAGCATTAGTGTTTCGTAAAGGGGGACATGTGTGGCGTTTCCCAAGGGTTATGCTCACACATTCCCCAAGGATCCAGCAATGGATCTTCCTTTAATTTGTTTCTTCCAACTCAGCCTTACGTGTCGAATTCAGAGGGGGGGTCTGGATGTCCTGATCCCCCTCTTGATCTATGCATGTGTAAAAGTTCAGGGAAGGAGGGGGATTTAAAAATATTACATGCTGACCCCCTCCCCGTTTTTTTTAAATACCTGCGTCCACCCCTGGGTGGTCAAGTCATTTCATGAGCTGATGCCCACCAACTGTTGGGTCACTTTATTTTACTTCCTCTTTATGACAAAACTCTTTTTTTTTTTTTAAGTATAAGCTACCATACTTACATAGTTCCAGACTTCTCTTTCTCTCTCCTTCTCTTATCTGTTGGTAGAACAAATGTCTGAAGAGTCCGCGCTGGCGTGATACTCGTCTTGCGTGGCATAAACAGTGGTGCAACTATGTGCGGTTTATGCTATGCCTGAGCAGTATCATGCAAGCCAGCGCTATTCAGATCTTTGCTTAAAGGCGGTTAGCTCTGCCAGCAGTTAAGGAGCAGGGGCTGTGTGCGGTCAACGGAATATTCTAGCAGACGACGCTCGCGCCGGAAAGAGCTTTGTGCGCACGTGCCTAATCTCTCCCGTGTCACCGCACCCCACCTCGGCACGGCGCTGGCCGGCCCGGCAGTCAGTGCTCGCTTGATATTATTAAAAACTTGGGCCACTGTACATAGTCTCACCCGGGTCAAATTCTTGGACATATAATGAACAAAACCACTTGATTAATTTTACATGTACTATTGAATGTACGAAGTTGCTTAAAGGGCCCATGAAACGAATTTTGGGCTATAGTCGGTTACAAGTCAAGAAGGTAGGAGAAGCTCCTCCCACAAGCGTGATGTGCCCGTTTCAAATCTCTCCGCAGTCGAAAGAAGAGTTCGCTGGAAACGCTCCTTGTTCCGCTTCAATGGATTCCCACTTGTCTCCGATCCCACTTTTTAAGAAAGCGACCTTTGTATTCATCGGGGAGGGAACCGAGCTTCTGAAAGCAGCCTTTGTATCCATCGGGGGGGGGAAGCTAATCCCCGAAAGTCGTATTTGTTTCCGTCGGTGGGGGAGAACTCTAATCTCCCTCTCCTGGCTTCCACAATGATAAGTCGAAGTCGAAAGATAAAGCAAATATGTACAGAAAGGCGAGACCCTCCTCGCGCGTTGGCCGCGACGTCACGGAAACGATGGGACGCTATTGGATGCGGAGGTGGCGGAGGGATATAGGATTCCCTTTGAGGGGCATTTGCCGCTACCTTCTTAACCTGTAACCGACTATAGAATAAATCAATTTACATTGGGATTTTACTAATAGTAGCACATCGTTCAGTGGGTTAAAAGAAAAAAAGGTAAAAAGTCAAAAACCTTTCTTTCGGTACAAAAATTTGAAAACACAGCGGACTATTTCATACCTCCTTCCCTTCGTAAGCTCTCTGCCTTTTCACTGTGATACATCCGCGGACCTCGCAGCGCGTCACCGGGCCCAAACGAACGTTACAAGACACCGGAGCTCACTTAATCCCTTCACCCCTAAGCTGACATTGTGGTGAAAGCTACGCGCTTGCCGGGCCAATCAGCCACCCCCCCTTTCATCACCTGACTTCATTCTCTGTGCGTGGGTATGCGCGAGAGAGCGTGATCACGTGGCAAAAGTGTGGCTGGCTCAAGGAGCACGTAGCTTCCAGAGCACTGTCAGCTTTGGGGTGACCGGGGTGGGGAAAGAAACTTTTGTCTGAATTTTGAGCGACGGGCTAATCTTCTAGGGGGACAATGGCTGTGTCCGGATTACACAAACGAGACTCCAAGCAAGAGGGGACTCCCACTTTTCGTCTTCTTGAACTGCTTGGTAGAATGCGCGATTTATGAGTTGAGGAAAGCTAAACAGGAAAAAGTTGGAAAAACATTTCATGACTCCTTTAACCCCTTAAGTGTCAAATTTCTTTTTCAAAAAGTAACCTAAAAGGGCCAGATTTTTTTTATTTTGAATTGTAACTCCTCTAGTATTACACATAAAATTTGAAAAGTTTATTACGCAAAAATCAGCGGAGGCGAAAAAAATATTTGCCAACTAATACGAGTGCTGCCATCTATGATCAGCACCGCTAAACTACTCGGACGAGCCGAGGAGCCGAGCTCGTCCGTTGAATTGAGGGCAACCGAAAAAACCACTGGACGAGCTGAGATCGTCCTTGGCATTTTTAGCCAGAAAGTGGCCGACGAGCTCAGGTCGTCCAAGGCACTTAAGGGGCTTAAGGGCAACTCCGCTTCATTTTTAGTTTGTGCAAAAACAATGCAGTCCTCTTCAGTATCACTTAGGAAGGCCACACGCCAAATATTACGACGTAGTTCTGTCTAAATGTTTCTTAAACGGTCCGGCAAACTTTGTAACTCGCCAAGTTGCTGAAATCGGCTGACTCAAGCGGGTGAATTGAGGCGCAACCAACAGCGCAGTCAAAGCTACGGCGTGGGCGAAGCCAACTTTGAGCTAAACGTGATCACCATTGCCCCCTTTTGGTTGTTTTTACTTCTCCGGACAAGCATAGCAGGTGACGTCAGCAATGTCTCCTCACGGCGTTCAGCGGTGTCCATGTGATTGGTATAACGCGCTTGCGCAGCACGCGTTTTGGGAGCCGTTTGGCTGCCCCGCCGTGGCCCCGCCGTTACCGCTGTCTTCCGTTTCACAACCGGCATCTCCGTCTCACCGTCTGTGATTATTGTTTCTCGGAGTTTCATCCACAGTTCGGACACTACATGCGCAGACTAATGCCGCAGTTGTGCAGACGTCGTCGAATGTCGTAGACACCAAAACTTGGTGAAGAGCGCGGTGGAGATGACACTTGCGCCTGGTACGCGCCCGCCCCAATCCCGCCCGCCGTTGCGTAGAGGATCACGGGACATCTCATATCACGTGATAGCCATGTTCTTGGCGGCCCGAGGCCAATGTCCGGACGGAGTCGAAATTTCGGTTTCGATTTCCGCTCGTGTTAAAAATTAGATTTAAAAATATACATCACATTTTTTTGCGATGCAAATGACTTAGTGTCTTTTAAAGTGCTTTTTAATGCGAAATCACTCATCATCCCGAAATCTTTTAATTGAGTGCAGTTGCCCTTTAATGCAAACCATTTTGTCTTTTGATAAACTCATAGTACATTTGCTGAATCGATCCAGCCTTAATGCTAGTTCACTGCACACTCGGCTGGTATTTGCTCTCAATGGGAAAGAATCGTCAGGCAGCAAGCAGCCAGAGAACTGAGCGGGATCTTACATTTTGTAGGAGGATGACGATGCAGCACATCGTGACTGGCTAGACCGTATCTACACCTTGAGCAGGGCCACCATCCTGCTGGGCATAGTCTACTTCTACTCTTCCTTCGGAAGGTTCCTGGTGGTCACTGGAGTTGCTGTGCTTGTGTACCTGTAAGTGCCTCTTCTAGTTGGGCTATGCTTGGCTAGCCCACGGAAATTTTATAGCAGGACCACGTGGGATGGGACAATTTTATGCAAAAATGTAACATATTTACACACTAGGTATAAGCTAAGTCTCCACATCCACTTTCCTTCAGAGCACGCAGATAGCCAATCATTGCAATCGACTGTAGTCCAGCAATTCAGGGACAGAGATAATGTCCTCGTGTAAAAATGCTTTCTATATGAATCGCATCTTCATGGGTAGTAGTTTTCTTGCCATCATTCTTTGCTGTGTTTCTTACATTGAGCGTGGCATTGGGTTTATGTGTGTTTGTGTGTTTCTTACATTGAGCGTGACATTGGCTTTATGTGTGCTCTGGAGGAAAGTAGATGCATCACAAAACAGCCTGTCATTTACTCAAGTGCATATTGGGTATAGAAAGGTGTCTTCCCAGGTCTCAGTAGTCTCTGGCAAAGAGGTGGTAATAGTAAGCAAGAGTTCCAACCTTGTGCTCTTTTGCCATTTACTTTGAAGAACACAAAACAAGGACTCCATGACATAGGTTTGTGTTTCCTTCCCTGTTTATTTTTTCTTAGTTTGATATAGAGAGTCCTGATTCATACTTCCACTTATGCAAGCGTAATTCAATTCTTTTTTAATTTTTGTTTGGTCGAGGCGTGCAATGTCTGCCCATTTCCAGAATTTAAAGGAGGACTATTTTGCGACAATTGTAGTTGACTGGGACTCTAGGTTCTTGAAAGTGTGTAAGTTGCAAGATATGTTGTGCTTGTGTGACGGTAGGTCCGTGTGGCTCTCTGCAGGTACCAGGGCGGTTGGTTTGCAGCCCAGAGGCAGCAGCAGCAACGCGAGGAAGACCCGAATCGTGCGAGGGAGGCAGCCAACAATGACGGTCAGAACCCTCCCCCTGCTGAACCCCAGCCTGCCGCACAGCCAGAGCCCCAGGCAGCTCCAGAAAGGCCGCAGGTAAGCTAAGCTGTTTTAAGTCATAGTTTGCAGTCTGTGTTCCTCTGCCCTTTGGCCTGTATTCTTCTCATCTATAGTAGCAGTACATGTTAGCAGGAGCAGGGCTGTTATAGTACATTTCATTTTTACTATGGATGCAAGTTCTGAAGAAAAAAAAATGTATCTCTTATAATGAGTCATTTTTCCCAACTGACCTGGAATTGGTGTTGAAAGTGATTTCATTTTGAGGCTTTCATATCATCCACTGTTTTCAAACGAGAAAGTTGCATGTATTTTTTTATGTTTTCCAATCTTATAATGAGGGGATGTAGAGAGAAGAAAGTAGCGCATTTCGGGGGTAGCTTCACCGAAGGATGAGAAAAGGAGAGTGACTGTGGTGCTCTAAATTCAAATTTGAATGCTACGTGGATTGTGAATCTTCCTTCAAAATTCTGAGCTATATGTCTATTTGGAATTCTTGTTTTTTATTCTACAGCCCACATTCATTCTTTTTATCAGCCGGATTAATTTACTATTGTATAAAAGATAATTACGGTTTCCCTGGGAGCTTCTTTCTGAGTCCTAAAATTATGTCACGATAGGTAACCAATTTGGAGAGCAAGTCGTCCGCTTCTTGCGCAGGGATTGCAGTGATGTCAGAACGACGCCGACTTCTGATTGACTTTGATTGGAAGGATAGTGGGTAGACCTCTATGCTAGATGCCTTATATTTTTACCCACTATTTTTTTTTTTTTTCAATCAGGCGATAAGAGTTTGGCATTCTGACATCATCGCAACCCCTGTGCAAAAAGCAGATGAACCTGTGCTCCACATAGGGAATTTTGGTTGTCTACACAAGATGGCGATGTAGACCGGACTTGATGGCCAAAGACAGAGCGTCAGAAATCACTCCAACAGCGGCGCCATAGTGACATCATGCATGCGAGTCAATGGATGATGTCTGACTTCTGATATTATGCTCAGATACTTGTAAAATGACTGACCTCATTGAGATCTAGTGTCACCTATTACACCACGATCGGCTTTTAGGTTTCGAGCCGTACGCCGACACCGTATGTTGTTTTTGCTACCGTATGTCGTGCTACAGAGGAGAGCTTGAGGGAATTGTTTGAAACTTCGATCGGTAAAGCCGCGAACCGATACAGTCGTTAAATGACGAGCCGCGAATTGGTTCTTGCTTTGACCAGAAAATTGGTGATCCGTTCGCAGAAAAAAAGGACGAGAAGGCTGGAAATATAAGTGAAATGAATCGCCTTTGTTACTTGAGTAGTGGCACATCAAGTTACTGCTGAGGAAGATGGTGGTAAAGGAAAATTAATGGAAAACTCACGACCATAAAGCCAGTTGTTGGGAACTAGCACGTCCTACAGCTACACACGCAAAAATAAGCAGCCCAAAACGTATGTGCTGATAGCCGAGAGGTCACGTGCATGCTTCCATTCTTGCTACTGACTTCGCAAAGTTCTAGGTTCAAATCCTCTTGGAATTATACTTATTTGTTTGCTTAACTTCATCTTTTTTTATTATTCGTGTCCACAACAAATGCAAGCCGAAACTGTACCCCGGTAAGTGATGTGGCGTCTGACTAAGACAAGAACGCTAATAAATAACTCAATGTTTTTATCACTCCCAATTTATTATTTGAAGATTAGATACATTTGAATATCTGTTCAACGTTTTTCTATCGCTACCATGACGTTTTGCCGCTAATGCTGCCATAAGGTGTCACATGGTCGTTACAGACTGTAAAAAAAACTAAGCATAAATGACAGAATTCATGAACATGCGGCATCTGTGAAGGGCACAGCAGTAGGCCATTTACCAGTTCATTGTAAGACATGCAAATGCAGTTCAGCATTCAGCAACATCACCATTCTTGGAACAAACAAGAATCCTTTTTCATGTGAGATGCCCAGGGCACTGGCCATCGAAGAGCACACGGAGGAATGTTTTAGTACCTCATTCCTTACAATCCACACCAAAGAAAAACTGTATTTGAGGTATGCCACACCCAGATAACTGGTAGGAGGAAGTTTAGCGGGTAACAGTAAATTTAATGATTTCTTTGTCTTATTATTTAAAGCTAAGAGTTACTTTGTATGAACAGACTCTGAAGAAGACGATTACACATACGAAGAAGTACTAAAGCAAAGTTGTTTGTTGGCTGTTTTGTCTTGTCTAGTCCTTTCTACACCTGTTTCTGTAAGTTCAAGCTGACCCATCACCCATACATACCCAGTAGTTCAATTAAAACCTGTAACAAAAGACATGATTTTTATACACGGTTTATAAAATGCAGAGGCAATATTTTGCTGTAATACTTAGGAATCAGTGTCTTTGTTGTTTTAATGAATATAAGAAAGTTTAAATCCGGCAGATTCTTTTTTTTTTTTTTTTCTGACCCCCTTAAATTTGGAAGTCACTGTAGTCACCCAGTTTAGGGCTGAATCTCAACTCTAATATTCTCGTTGAAAGATTGGCATTCTCCACCATATTTGCAAGTGGCAAATGCATTTCAGTAACTATGCAGATGCCCAGATCAGCAATTTACGTTAGAAGTATGCAGTTCTGGTGAAGTGATGTTTTACAGCAATAGCTGTTATGGGCTTTTCCCACCACTGGAAATTATGTCCATTCTCATTGTAGTTGTGCTAGTTGTTGATGTTGTAATTGGCGTAATAGGGCATATGGTGTCCGTCGTAATATTGTCAGCTGCTTGAAAAAGATCACTCGCCGCTCTCAAGAATCGAACCTGGGTCCGTTGCAATCGAACCTGGGTCCATTGCATGCGAAGCAAGCGTATTACCACAGATCTATGCCACAGCATTGGCAATCCACTTTATTATACGGTTTTTGTGCAACAAACGTGAGTACGAGTCTCGAGTAGTGCCTGCTAGATGGCAACAGCTGCTGTGACGTTGCAATAAAAAATTCTTCGTCATTCTTAATAAATTCCAAATTTAATCGGAGTTCATTGTTCAAATGAAAAACTTCGGCTAGGTGGCGCGAGCCACCGCCCGATTCAAAGGGTTCAGCCGTATCCCTCCATTCAATACCACCTAGAAGAAGGGCCTGCACATTAGCTCATTGTTAGTGGATCCATGAGCAGCCCCAGGCTGCAAACACGCTGAAATTCGAATGTACGGCGCAGAACAGCAGACACGGGTGTCTTCGTGTTGCCACGTGATAACGTCTTGCTTGTTGTGAGACGCTGAAAGATACGCTGGTGGTGACGCTGACGCGTCTCGCTCTGCGTCGCATGCTCTTGAGATCGAAGCTGATTGAACGAACGACTTCGCCGTGACTACTGTAAAGTAACACAGGACTGCTTTTTTTAAATTTTTTTTTATTTCGACCTTTGGTAGGTGATTGCCACCGAATGGCACTTGCCTTTAAAAAACGTACAGTAGAGCCGCATATTGCTACAGGTTGTAATACGTTTACGGGGCTCTGCGCAGAGGGAGGCCAACGAGCACCAGCTCGAGGAGATGATGGACGGGGACCTGAACGAAAATGCGGCTGTGCCGGCACACGAGGACCGAGTGTCGCCCATTGCGATGGTGTGGACAGCGGTGACTACGTTCTTCACCTCGCTCATTCCTGAGCAGCCACCTCCGGTCAACATTAACTGAACGGGCGTCTAACCTTTTGACTACGGCAGAAGTCCAAGCACCCCCTCCGAAAGCAAAAAAGAAAAATGTAATTAAGCAGCAAGTTGTCAAAACGATCGAAGCACTCGCCTTGAATTCTAGCCTTGTGAACATAGACACTTCTAGGATTCCGAGAGTAGTAATGCTTTCAGGTAAGCCTTCGGAAGGCACGCCGCCGGTCGGCAGCTCGGAGAGCGGCATAGCTCAGACGGGGCTTTGCTGAGCCTGTTCAACATATCACGAATGTCGTGCTGACGAAACGACATGTTTGCTTTGTGAACGAATCTTTCGTAAATGCCTTTTTTGAGAGTACTAGGTTCTGCCTGAAATGGTCATGCTGTTGCAGATCTATCAGTGAGCAGTTGTGTCTGCCCCTGCTAGAAAAGCATCCATTTGGCTTATATGTTTTTTCTGGAACACCAAAGACGTGGCAGCTGCTGAACATAAAATTCTTCTCGGTTCTTGTCTCCAAGAGACACCTGTAGTGTGGGGGCTTGCGACCCATTGACAAGTATACCATTTAGGGCATTGTAAAATAAAGACTTGTACATAGCAGAAACACCGTGGAGAGACTGGAAGTCTGAAGTGCCCCGTTGAGGAGAAGGTCGTCTACATTTTTCTGTTGACGTAACTTCAGGTAATGAAGTCTCACTTTCATGGCATTATTTTTGTAACGAGGTGAGACTATTTCCTATGGTTCTGCTGCATGGCATTTTTATTTGTTTGGTGGCAAATGGAAGAATGAAGCCCAATGATCTATCCTATCTTGCAAGAGCAACATGCTAAGTTGCACCCAGCATTGTTTGCTTTCTTTATTTTTAAATACCTAAGGGACTGTTTTGTGTAACGCATTGTGCCATTGTGTTAGAAAATCTAGCTTGCAAAGCTTGTGTGATATTGTATATTTGTCCCACCTCGATTAAGGGGTTCCACCGTGGCAAGTTGTACAAAAGTCGTCTTTCAAGGTTTTTCGCAGCCGAGGCATTGTTTTTTTCTTGCGTTTGAAGATGACCACTTAATTTCAAATTTGTGCACTTTGGCAATGTTGTGGAAATGTTTTCTAGTCTGTAAGAAACTTAGCGTACAATAGTGTATGCTGCAAGGAGGGGTCCATGGCATTTCATGTGTGGCTGCTGTTAATCTGGTCACCCTTCCTTTTTATGCAATACAGAAATTCCAAAGTACTAGCACTTTTCAGACTACTTGATTGGTTGGCCAAGTGGTTCTGCGGCACTGCTGTTAACTGCACACTACCCAAAGACATCGGTTTTCTTCTGTACATACTCCTAGTCCTTTTTTGTTGCTTTTCTATAGTGTAATAAAGAACTATACATTATGTTACTGTTACTCGTGGTCCTTCTTTTTCTCTTTGTCATTTCCATTGAAGTACAGACGTCTAAAAGGAAACTAAATTGTTTTAGTTGTTTTATCAAGCAAGTTGGTCAGTTCTAATTTTAAATATTTGCATTCTGAATTTTCAATCGAATAAGTAGAAAATAAATGAAGGTTGTGGAGAGAGGTTTACCATTGTTTAATTTTGGAAGAGATGTTAAAAAGTGGAAATGCTCTAAAACCAAGAAAAAAAAAAAAAAGATTACCACATCTCCACGTGGTGAATGATGTTGATTGGGGCGAAGCTCTGGTGGTACTTGTCTGCGTAGACGCTGAGCCACTCATGCCGAGCCTTCCGTTCGTTTTCATCCATGTCAGAAAGAGGATGTGTGGTATGGAATGTTGACCGCAGCGCCCTCTCGTCTATAAACGTTGAGCCAATGCATGCAAAGTTTAGCGCAATTATACACGCATTTGACCGCAGCGCCCTCTCCTGTAGAGACGTTGAGCGGCTACATGCAACGTTTCATCCATGACACCTCTTGAGTTACTACCACATCTCAGAGCCCCCTACTCGCCCTGCACAGGTTCAAATCCTTTCGACTGCGCAAACTTTTTTTTTTTTTTATGCCTTACGTGAGCACGTGAGCTCACGAGCACGAGCACCAGCAAGATCGATGTGAGCACGGACGCTGGACGGACAAGGCTAGACCCTAAGGAGCTTCGCCCCTAAAAAAATGTATATATATATTTTTTTTTTATGACAGTATGATTGTTTTAGACGTGTCAATGTGATCCCTGCAACTTCGAGAGTAATGAAGCAGCAGTAGTTGTTTAATATAAACTTTATTTTCCGAAACCGAAACTAGGTCGTCATTGCGCGGTGCAAGCTGCCAGACTAGGCGGGAACCAAGCTAGAGTTCTGCACGGGTTCAGGTCAACCCCATAAATTCGAAAGCCCGGGTTACGCGTGCTAGCCGGCCGACTAGCTTGTGTAGTTCTCGGGCCCGGGTCAGTGTTGTCGAATCGTGGGAAATTTCCCATATTGTGGGAAAAAGCATGACAGCCAGGGGAAAAGGGAACCCAGAATTTAAACACTTGTAAAACGTGGGAAATATTTTTTAATACGATACTAAACCAAAATTTCGTTATTTTCTTATCTACATCGAACAAGAGAAAGGACGTGGCACTATACTTCGTTTCACCTTATGCGCGAGCGAAGGCAAAGCTAGAGGCGCGAGCACGAAAGCTCCGTGCGTTCAGGCTTTGCTCGAGCGCGCGAGCCGGGGAGAAACGCAAAAAAGCGCTGGTCTCGCGCTTCTAGCTTTGGCTTCGCTCGCAGATAAAGTGAAACGAAGTATAGCTACCGAAGCAGTTTGCTGTTTTGAAGAGCCAGCCTAAAGCGCGAAACACATGTACGACGAAACCTTCCGATCCGACGTGCGGACTGCCGGAATGACCTTGGGGGGAGAGGGTTTTCGTAGCATCGGAGAGCGTTGAAAACCCTCGCCTCCGACCGTCGTATTGCGCGGTCGGACGTCGGATCGGACGGTTTCGTCGTACATGTGTTTCGCTCTTTAATTCATCACGACTTACATCATGTGCGTGCTGCAAGCCTGCCGGTGCAGTACTGCCGGTTCGCGCGCTTTTCTCACCGCTAGCTACGCACATTAGTCCTCTGTCAGTGCGATAGATCATGGATTGCACAGTGGGTGGGGTCCCTTTCACATCACGATTTTAGTTTAGTTTAGTTAATGGCCCGCTTGCCTTTATGCAGTTCCCCTGGTTCATTCAACCAATGTATAGTGTGGAAAAGAAGGAGAGGGGAGACCACTTTGCCGTATGCCAACTACATTTCGTAATTTATGCAATGCAAACTTCTACAAAACAAAAACATGGGGAGGTGTTGGTGCATTTAAATATACTTGGCGTCATGCGTATCTTAAAAACGACTTCTGTCGCTAAAATGGTGTTGTGGGGAAAAAAAGGGGGAATTTTCGCCGCTTGGCGAGGGAAAGACCGAAGTGGCAGTGCGGCAACACTGGCCCGGGTGGGTCCCGGGCCAGAATGAAACAGCTGCAGTTTTTCCTGAGGAGATCCACTGCGCCGACACTTCTTCGTATTCGCACACCTCGGCCTCTCGCCAGGCCGAGACGTGTTTCTTCTCAGTCGGGCATGGTTCGAGCCCGGTAGGCATCCCATCGGACCGTGCCTCAAAAGTATTAGCCCGTATAGGGTGTCTTCACGTGATGTCAATCCGCCATTTTGTTGCTAGAGTGAGTGAGGAATGTCTAAGAAAGAAAAGTAGCGTGATGAACTTTTGTACACTACCGATCTGACAGTGTCGTATGAATCTTCGGAATACTCGCATTTCACACGCACCAGACAAAAAAAATGGTGGACTATGCCGAGCTCAAATCTCCAAGTCGCGGAGATCCCAGCCCCAGGTGATGAATATAATTGTTTTACTTCTAATTTGTTTTTTTGTTTTTAGCTGTTTGGTAATGGCACATATGTCACCAGATTAGCGACGTCGTTCGCTCGCCGTGGCCAACATTGTGAGACATTCCGCTCCCCACGTGTGATGGTGCAAATGCATACCATCAATCCTATGACCATGAGCGTTTGTAAAGGTGGTTTAGCCTCGATGCGTCGGTGTACACGGGAAAGGTAACTTTACAGGGACTAATACTGTGGTCAATAAGAAACGTTCCTGGGGAATGAAAAGTATTTATGGAAATAGTGAAATTTTTGTACGTGCTGAGTCTTACGCAATTGCAGCCCTCGGAAACATTACGTTTCTTCAATGTAGTGGCCAGAAATTCTAGATTTTCCAGAAGTGGTTAACAAGAATTAATGCAAGCAAATATGTCGGGCCTGGGAATAAGAAAGTATACGTTCCTAAGTTCGTGATTATAGTCGCTGACAGAGTGAGAACGGCCCATCTTTCGAACGCCCGCGGCCTCCAGCACGCGCTCCGTGCCTTGATTGCGCGCTTGAGAGGTGCGCGAGACCGTTGTCGACGGTAGAAGGCTCACGCCGGCGTCGGGACTAGAGTAGCAGAGTTGCGCGTTCATCCTCGGCGGGTGGCCGTAGCGCCGGCTTTCCTGCACGGCCCTGGATTCTTTGCTCGTCACGTGACTGAATTTGGCGAATAGTGGCGCCGGGCGCGCGGCCGCGCATGGAAAGCAGGGGAACGAAGCAAAAGCAGGGGAACATGATCCGGGGCGCGGCAACGTCGGCGAAGTGACCGTATTGGTGGCTTTCCTGCACGGCGAAGGATTCTTTCCTCCTCACGTGATCGATCTCGGCAAATAGCGGCGCAACGGCACGTGGAAAACTGACGCACCGTCGCCTCAAGATCCTCGAGATCGAACCGTGTCGCTACCGTGCAGCCGAAATTGGTAACATACGAAAGCGGGGATACTGCCGTGCGTTGTCTGCTACGGGCGCACGTTCCGAAGCACGGATCTCGACGACGCAAGCCCGCTTCCGGCTGAGCTGGACCCTCCCTATTAAATGCTTGTTGTTTTTTGCTGTTGCTCTTCTTAGGCCCGCTTCAGACAGGGCAATTTCGCCCAGCAACTTGACGTCGCAACTCCAGCAACACGGGCCGCCCGCGTTCACACGCAGCAACCGAATTGCACCGACTTGCCATCATCATCATTAAATTTGATTCTTTTACTATTTAGACGTCCAGCTACGCGGTAAAAACGCGTTCTTATATCTTTGAACGGCGTTGAGAATACTAACTCATTTTTCTGAAACTGTTTATTTCCGAAAACGACCCATTCTAAACCAGAACTAAGTTTTTAGCTGTCATCATCACCACCACAGGGGTGTCACGTGAAAATATCGCGTCTCTGATTGGCTGCAGCCGCTTCAACCGTCTTCGAGTTGCTCGCTTGTTCGAGCCGGACCCGATCTCAGCAATTCGCGTCGATCTAGGGAAAGTTAGGGAACAACCCGCCAGCAACCTCAAAATTGCTGGAAAAGTTGCCCTGTCTGAAGCGGGCCTTACTAAAGGTTTTGTTGGATCGTTTCACACGCGTGGAACTTCAGCAAAGCGATCAATATTAAGTCGGATGCTTCCATAATCTTAGTACAGTGGTTTGTAGAACCGCTGGTCCTGCATATTTTAATGCGAAAGCATTAACTGTCCCACGGAGCGAAGCCGGCGTTATATGATCGTCTGTAGCAGCGAAAAACGGCACCTAATACCCATTGGCTGAGCGAAACGGTACCTAAATTCCCATTTTGGCAGGGCGAAACGGCACGTAAATTCCCATTGGCTGAACGAAACGACACGTAAATTCCCATTGGCTGAGCAAAACGCACATAAACTCCGATTGGCCGCAAAGCGAACGCGCCTGGAAACAAAAATAAAACAGAAAAGCACAGCAACGCACATCATCATGGAAGCCGTGGAGGTCAAAGCGGTCGCGCCCCAGAAATAAAACACAAAGAAAAACACCACAACGCAGATGCAGCGTCACGGAAGCCGTGGAGCCGGCGGGGGTGCCGCGCCTGCGCAGTGGGGGAGCGTGACTTCACCGCCGGAGCGCCGCATGAAAAAGGAAGACGTGGCGCGCTACTTGAGGAATCCGCTGCGTGTAGGAATGCTGTCGCTCCATCCATAGCTTCCATAAAACATTGAACGTTGATTGGAGCTGGGGGTTGATTAAAAATTAACCCGACTGATCTCCACCCTTTAATAGGTTAATGAATTTATAAATCCGTTAGTTTATTTTTCTCCAGTCTCATTGCACAAAAGACGTTAAAACTACACTTTTTTTAAACTATGTTTACTATGTCATAAATGACATATTCCAGTCCCATTTCAATCCACGTTGTGACGCCTACAGAAATATGAACAGGGAAGCCTTTTAAAGTGAAATCATTTTTAGTTAATATTTAAACAGCATAATAACCCTCGATGACAATAACAAGCAGGCATTTTTTTACGTTTTTTTCGGACTTTTTGTTTCAACACAAACCTCCAAAAAACGGCAAAA